CCGCCTCGGGGTTATTGGGTGTGCTCGCGTGTGCGCGCTGTGGGCGGGGGCGGCGGGGGGCGGGGGGCCGGCCCGCCGCCTTGTGTTTGTTCCAAATTTCTATCCCTAAATCTTCAACACTCCCTTCCAGGTCGTGTTTCACAAAAGCCAAAGCCATCGCCACTATCTTTGTCGATGATGTGATTTGCCATTTCGGTTTTTCTGTTCGTGTCATTTCCGATAACGGTGTTCAATTCTTATCTTCGATATTTACGAACGTATGCAAGGCTTTGGCCATTAAACATCAACCAACTCCTTTATATCATCCACAAAGCAATTTATGCGAACGTGTTAACCGTACGATTCGTCTATTACCGCCGCCTTAGCGCACAATGATCATCGTTCGTGGGATCTTAAACTCGCGCAAATTGCCTTTGCTCTTCGAACCGCACTGAGTGCCAGCACTGAAAGTTCACCTGCTTTTCTTATGTTTGGTCATCATCCTCGTCAAACATTGGACCTCGGTTTACCACCACCTTCAACTTCCGATACTCCTACGACGACGACCGATTTATCTAATTATCGTCATCACTTATTATCTACTCTCCTACCCACATATGTTCAAACTCGCGAACTCTTCGATCTTGCTCATCAACGCCAAGCTCGTCACTATAATCTACACCATCGTTCAGTATAATTTGAACCTGGCGATCTGGTATGGACCCAACCTTTCGCTCGTATTTCTAACCGTAAATGGCGTGGTCAGAAGTTGGAACCACGTTGTGATGGTCCATACGTAATTATCATCTCTCACCTATGAACTTGAACATCTCATGTCACGTCATCGTTTGTCACATATTTATGTCGAACGTCTCACTCCGTATTACTCCCCAGTTACCGTTGATCTACCTATTCCTTCGACTTCTTCGTCAGAATCGTTTACCACCGATGATCTTGTCTAACTTTCTTTCTTTCCATTATCTGTTTCTCATAATTTTCTGTTTTCCTCTTGTATCGTGTGCACTATGATTGTTTTGTTTGGTCTTTCTTTCTCTGTGCTGACGCTTGTATCTATTCTTTTCTCTAATTTCTACGTTTACTTTTTTGTCGATCCGGTGGATCGACTTCTTCTTGGTATGGGGGCCCTGTGACGGATTGTACTGTCACTGTTGTGTTTTCTCGTCCTCGGTTTCTGTTTTCGTTCTTCTTCTTCTCGTTGCGTTTTCGCGCCTTTTGTGTGGTTAGACTAGTTTTGTTGTTCTCTTATCAAGAGACGTTCTATTCTTAGTTTTCTGTTCTGTCGTATGCTGATATCCTGGCTGTGAATATTAAAAAAAAATCATCGTTCCTTTCTTGTGAAGTGGCTCCTGATCCGTTCTTGAGCTGCTTCACATAGACTATATCATTCAATCTTACGAGGGAGCATATTTAGGTGTTCAAACAGTCTAGATCCCATCTATTGGTAGTAAGTAGATATCAATGAGATATGATAAACCTCAAAAGGATTCGTGCCTTTGATCCTGAGTTATGATTGTTTTACTCGTTTTTTGAGTTATTGCAAGGTGCTTCGATAAAATACCAATAACTCATTTTTGACCTGAAATTTTGTCTATAGATGGGAGTTATTCCTACTAGATTGTTCTGTAAATATCAGCCCGAACGAACGTCTTCTTCTTCAGATAATCGAATTTAGAAAAATCCTGTGTTTCATCAATCATTTGAGAAAGACTGATCTGCCTTGGAAATTCGTTATCAGCTGAAGGAAACATTCGTTCGGGCTGATATTTACAGAACAATCTAGTAGGAATAACTCCCATCTATAGACAAAATTTCAGGTCAAAAATGAGTTATTGGTATTTTATCGAAGCACCTTGCAATAACTCAAAAAACGAGTAAAACAATCATAACTCAGGATCAAAGGCACGAATCCATCGGTGTGAAGCTAGCACGACGGAGCTAGCACGAACAAACGATATGTTAGGTTAAAACTTTTTTCCTAAGTATGTCCCGTCCATGAAAACTACACTATTCGACTCAGAATTTAATTCTACATCGAATGGTGGTACTTTTATTCACCGGACAAACTTTGGAAAAATTCGCTCTGGATTTTAAATAGACCTAAAGGAAACGAACAAAGATGTAGATAAAAATTTTTCCAAAGTTTGTCCGGTGAATAAAAGTACCACGATTCGATGCAGAATTAAATTCTGAGTCGAATAGTGTAGTTTTCATGGACGGGACATACTTAGGAAAAAAGTTTTTAGGTAACACACCGTTTGTTCGTGCTAGCTCCTTCGTGCTAGCTTCACACCGATCACGAATCCTTTTGAGGTTTTTCATATCTCATTGAGATCTACTTACTACCAATAGATGGGATCTAGACTGTTTGAACACCTAAATATGTTCCCTCGTTAGTATGAATATCACCAGATGGTTCAATAGAATTAGTGGACTACAATCATAAGTAAGCCGTTCGAATCTAACTAAAGGAATAAGAATAAAAAATAAGAAGTAGTATCTAATCAGCTGACCGAGGTGTGATATGATCGTACAGAGATAGTAGATGATAATGAGATATATGGCAGATATTATATACCACCATGATGGTAAATTACGTTTTTTTCTAAAAACCAATAAAACAAGTAACGCTTATCCTTTGGATTCGCTTACCGTTTTCTGAAAGATTTTTCCTAATGCTGAACACATTCAGAGACTTTGAAGGAGAAAAAACACACTGCGATTGCTACTAGTGCTCAACTGAATCATGGCACTATGTCACACACTAGAACTAGANTCTATCTTGGTCTAACCTGTCAGTCAATTTTTTGAATATAGTAAATTCATTAGTAATAAGTTACTATTTAGTAGTTTTTACCACTATAATAGATCCGAATATAGCATTTAAGGTAGTCAATCGATAGAGCTCGTTGAGTTGCATCTTGGTCTAATGTTGGTCTAATCTTCAGGCAAATCCATTCAGAAAAAACTCGAATCCTAGTATAAGATATCCTACGTGAGGTTTCATATAAGCCTTAGATACTTTCATTAGAGATTTTATGAGCTGCGTTATCGTTTTCTTACCAAACTCCTAAAAGGTTTAGAATCTATTGCAATCTACGAAATCCTTTAAAAACTAGTAACGCTCGTCGAGGTAGAATCGCTATGCCCTCGACTGAACCACTGACTGAAAATAAAATAGTCTTATGCGCGTTTTATGCAAGAAAAGACAGAAGTATAACCTTTGAAAGGGTCCCCAGAGACTGATCTTCATTCGCCTCACAGTCTTCAAAAGAGTCAAAGGACTACTTGTGTTGCTCTTAATTATTCTATATTCCTGACTGACAATTACTCTTCACAGGAAGCAGAAGTTCGCTATAAATGACTATTATGGATTTGCACCTTTAAACATGTCCTCCTTTTTCTAAAAGAAAGATAATTTCAGTAAGACCAAATGAGACTCTGTATATATTTCGCATTTGAACGTGTCCGATTGTTGATACTTTGGTAACTGGCTAGATTACCGGGCGCAGCTCGTTGTGAGTGGCGCCCCTATGGGGCGCCACTCACAACTTGCCGCTTCAAAGATGTCCTTATCTATGATATGATTACCCGTGTGCTACTAAAAAGTATCGAAAATTAATTAGCATTCCATCAGCATCTCATAGATAAAATTATCCGCGTCCGAACATTTGAGGCTATCTCCTTAATTAAAAGGCTTAAAGGCCAGACCTGCAAAAACTTTTAATATATCGAAGGTCAGCATTTAAGATTGCTCTCCAGTATGTAACTTGCGAATGAATGTGTTTTTGGATTACTGGCCTTTGGTATGCGACAGTCAACCGAGTGTGTTTTTACTTTTTCGTAATCAACTCTTCTACGTAGCCATCCTCTGAGGCGCAGATGAAATGTTTTCTTCATTTCTGTCACGTCCCTGCCCCTTCACCCCTCTTTCAGCCAACCTCGAGCCTCAGAATCCCTCCCAAACGATGTTTCATGAAGTTGTGAGCATTTTCAAAAAAAATGTTTTTTTGACCTTTGACCTTTGACCCTGACACGAACAAACAGACAAACAAACTTTTTTTTTCATATGACCCTCCTTTCAGTTGAGGGAACTTCATTTTACCTGGAAAACATTTTACCACAGTCTTTGTTTTCTGCGAAAAATTCGTTAAAGATGCAAAACTTCCTTGGTTTCGACTAAAGCCTTTTCTGTTTTCAGTGTATGCTCAAAAACAAGGCATATCCACCGAATGCTATTTTTTATGTTTGAATGCTCATAGTTAACAAAGCTACGAGATCATTTTCTCTCATATCTACAGAGTTCAGATAGGATCTTTTAGTTAAGAAAAAAATTTTAATATGTTTTCCGCCTAAAAGATGAAATATTGTCCAAATCCTTCGCTTTATTTCCTTGATAAACCAGTGGCGGATCGAGCCAAAATGATTGAAGGGTTGGGGACGCTGGCACAATATTATTCAGATAGAAATCAGGCGTCCATAGCTCATTCTTGTTTACATCAATTTGTTCAAGAACGGCTCTAGCCGAACAACTGGCAAATAAATACGCATGAGCACAACGTGTCGGATTGTCTTTGTGTGTTGATAACATCGGTTGTTTTCCGTCAAAGCGAGAGTCGGATATGTTCAAACAACTTCCAATAAAGAATACTGGATTTTGATCTACCCATTCATTGCTATCCTTTGATAACGAAGAAGTTGCGCATGGGCCATCGATCTTCAAAGCACCAGTTCTGATAGCAGTATAGACAAAACGGTTGAATTTTTCTTTGAAAAAAGGAACAAAGATCGCGTCGTCCTCTAAGTATAAAGCTAACGTTAGATTTCTATTCGCCGTTTCCACCCACGCATCAAAGTTTTTCATTATAAGTGAACAATAGCGACCATGCCCTTCTAAAATGCTCAAAAGTTTATGTCAAATATTTAAAGACACTCGCGAAGACATACTTGCAGGTGTATCAACTAAATTCAAACTTTCGAAAATTTCTTTCTTATTTTCATCGGAATTGCATTCTGTATGATTCCATTTCCATTGCCATTTGATAGATTCAACCGGAATATTTTGTTGCCGAAACGTATTCTTTATATGTAAATGTCTGTCAGATAAACTTTGATCAGTCATAACATAGATTTGTTTGACATAAGCTAAGCCTGATAATGTGGAAGGTGATTTCATCATCTTAAACGTTGTTTTATATTGTTCTTTAGGAAACCAAGCCTTCGTTGAATGTTCATCGGGTAGGGGAAATGAAAGCCATTCTCTTCTTGGCTTTTGCTCGATAAGTTCTTGAATGGAATAGTAATCATATGCCTTACCGTTGATATGAGTGACTGCATCGATGGGATAGTTGGCGAGAATCAAACGGAGCAGGTCTTGATGAATGAGTTCTAACTGTTGTCTCGATGGCGTAAAAAACCAAGTCATATATGATAGCGGGGACCATTTGTTTTCAGAATGAAACCCTAAAAATATATGACACGTTTTTTCAGAGAATCTTTTTGATTTCCTTACATGTTCCTGCTACTGATAGAAGAACTAAAAGCCAACATGAGAAGAAAAGAAGGTATAAAATAGTTCTCCGTCCTGAACGTGTTCTGCCAATCGACATGTGAATTATTTGTTCCGATTCAACAGGGGCCAGTAACTCTCACGTTCAGCGGTGTGAAGATACCGAGAAGAAAAATTTACTGTTACTTTTTATTTTCTATAAAACACCATTACTAAGAATATTATATATCTTAGTAAAGTAATTTGGTTCCTTAGAAAGGTTAGCGCAATGCAAATTTCGAGCAAACTTTTGCTTTACTTCTTACGCAGCCTGATGCAATTTGATGTGCTAAATCCGGTTATGTACAGTGCATTCGCATAGAAAGTTGACTGCAAGTAGAAAATCTTAAAAAGCCTCAAAACCCTAAATTCTAAAAAGCTGAGTTTTCTGCCAGGAGTTTGGCGATAGGATCTTTTTAAATGTATTAAAGCTTTGAAAGCTTTTCCTCCTGGTTCAGCATGGAAAACTAAATCTGTAACACTACTTTTTGAACGTTCAAATTAGCTCTTAATCATTGAAAAGCATAAACTCATTTCCTAAGGAAGAAAAACTGTTTTCTATCACTAGCCGACTTCCTAGGCGTCCCAGATACAATCTACGTATTTTCTTTCCTTAGTCCACTTTCGTTTAAAAATTCCTCGTTTTGCTGCAATATTCTGTGGAACTCACATATATTTTTTGAAGAGAAATAAGTAGAAGTTCTAGATCGAAGAATTGTTTCACCCCCTTCTGAAGGCTCAGCTTCTTGAAGTCCCACATATTTATGAGAAAATGATCAATTTTTAAGTATTTTTAACAACTCAGTCAGAGAACAGTCCCAGCAATCCATACTTGACACCGCATCTGCTTCTTGAAACCATCCTCTCCGTCTTCCCAAAGTATAGACAGCATCAAAAGTACTTTTAGATCAAAAATAAAACAATACTACATATTTTTGAGCACTATAAATATGTGAAAGTTAATTCAAGTGACTTTATGTGGGGTAGGGGTGTCCTGCCAGCAAACCCAATGTCTCATGTGATACCTCCTCTCTCTTGTCTCCTTTTGTTATCTTTCCTTTTATTTAGTGTGCTTTTCTTCATGAGGGTCACTGTGAAAATGAAGTGGTAACTCTCTAAGAACGGATAACCTGAACTTTCCACCTTCACCCACGTCTCCGTTTGTCGGCATTCCTACTGGGTGACACTCACGACTCGCCGTTCCACAATCCTCTCGAATTCTGACTATACTGTTTTATTTTATTCATCACAACGTTTAATTGAACAATCTTTACTAAGATAATCAATAAACACAGGAGTGACGCTCGTCCTTAGCACTCGCTGAGGTATTTTTGAAGGAGCTTTACCAACCCTTGGAAAAGTCTTCAAACTAAACCTGGGCCCAAGAGAAGTCAGGAACAATGAGAAGTTTATGCATAAACTTCTTTTAAATGTTTTTCAACTTTTCATCACTTCAAAGTATCTTTAAATCGTGTGTAGAAAGCGAAAGGCAAGAAACAAGTACTATTGGTAAAACTGCATAGATTTAATCGTTGATACTTTTAAGGAAAATATCACTCATACTTCTTTTCGTTCGTACAGGCCTTCTAGACAAACCCTTAATTACTCACCAGCGTCCCTCCGGTCGGACACTAACGGCTAGTCGCTGATAAGCACACGTCTTCACTATTCCATCTACTTCTGATTCGCTTTGGAAACGAATAGAGGAAGTTCTTTTAACTGCTTTTTGAAAAAGAACACTCTGTACTAATGCGATTCTGGGAAGGGAGCTGTTGAGACTTGATGCTATCTTCTGAGTCGCTATACTTCGAATAGGTTAGTTTTTCTCATGTCTAGCTGAATCTAACAGTAGAACGACAAACATTCATTTATTTTTTCTCCATGTATGTCTATTGAAAATTTGATCAGATAATCTAATGTATCGTAGTCAGCGATACAAAAACTCTTAAACAATGCTGGTATAAGTCTCATACTTATTCTATAGTTTACTTGAACTGCGATTTTTAAAGCAATTTATTACTTTTAAAGCCACTGCTATCGAGAACTATTTATCCAACTCAAACAGACGGTCGTGCAAGTTCAGATTCTTCATGAAAGACAAGGATGAACATAGATCGTATGAAATGGTTCAGATAAAGGCTAACGCCGGATTCTAGATCCTCCACGTCAAATCACCCCTTGGTCCACTCTTTTGCGTCAACCAGATTTTTTCGCTAGTTTAGTGAATACTGAATTTTCATTGGATAGGAAAGACAAACTTTTTACATTCCAGGCCGCTGGTTTTAACGCTGCATAATTCTTTGTTTCAGAAAAGGAAAAAAACTTATCAATTCACAGTCTCATTCCTCAATTCTAGTACCATAAATTCTTTTCTCTACATTCACACAGTAAAGATCAGCTCAAGTCACTCTTCATTCTCAGCATGTGATTTGTGACGGGAAGTTATACAGATAACTTAAAGAGTATTTTCATTCTTCATATTTTATCACTTATATAGATAGTATGGCGATTCTTGATGCAAGAAATGTGTACTGGGAAAAAGTGTATTAGATAGAAGACATAATGGATCATATAGAAATATCATTTCTTTTTTTGTTGATAATCCATGATTCGCTCGTCCAATCACTCTCATCGTCAACAATTTCATCTCAATCATATTAGCCTTTCTAGAGTTATCGTATAAACAGATGGAGGACACTGACCAATTCTAGTAATGCACTCATATTTTTAGCCTACTGCAGCGATAAAATGTTTCAAACCTGTTCTTTGTAACATGTTGTTGGCACTTTAACTAAAACAGGTGCTGTTTGTGAATGGATTTGTACACTTCACAGCATCCAACACATCTAGAATAATCTTCTTAGCGCCAAGAATCACAACGATAACTTCAATGAAGTTTATCGAAGTCTATTGACTGAGACACATCCTCGTGCTCTCCCTTCATTTTAACCTCTCACAAAATATAAATTCGTCTTGCACAGTTTAATGACGGTGCGTACAACACAGAGCTATGACTAACAGACAGGTGATCTGGATGTATTTCACTCGCTTTCTCAAAAATTCCTCATCATGCAGCTCCTCACCACATATTGACGTTTTCGTAGATCAGTACTATCATACATGTAGCTGAATGCTTTTTGGCATGCACTACCACGAAGCTGGTTGGGAGAACTGTCAGTGGAGTCCTCCACAACTACTTTTATAACGATCGGCTAACGCATCTTCGACGCTTTCCAAGATCTAACAATGCTCCACAGAAATTCGAGTGCGTTTCCTTTCAGAAAGTCAGTATTAATACAAACGAGCGGGCTTATTTCGAACACGATTGCAATATTAATGAGATGAAGCTATATAGAAAATCTTAGCTCATCTGATTCTTTTATCTACTCGAAAGGAAACTGTAATACTATAGTCATCCGAAGAAAATTTTGGAACAAACGAGTATTAACGTCGATCATAAGACGATTTGTTAGGATTTTCCTTTCTCATGTAAAAGGAGCCGTGCAAATTTTCATTCTGTCGTCCGATCACATCAGTGCGAAGCTAACACGAAGGAACTAGCACAAACACACAGTGGCGCAACCAGGAATTTTTGAGCAATGGGCAAAAACGATCCTCAAAAATTTTGAATGGGCAATTGCCCATTTGCCACTCCCCTGGTTGCGCCACTGCAAACACACGATGTGTTAGCTGGAAACTTTTTTACTAAATGAGCCCCGTCCATAAAAACTACACCGCTCGACTGAGAATTTAATTCTGTATCGAATGGTGGTACTTTTATTTATGGGGCACACTTTGGAAAAATTTCTACCTACGCCTTTGATTGCCCCCTATAAGCCCATCTATGATCCAAATACAATTTGTCCAAAGTTTCTCCCGTAAATAAAAGCACCACCATTCGATACAGAATTAAATTCTGAGCCGAACGATCTAGTTTTTACGGACAAGACTCATTTAGGAAAAACGTTTTTCGCTAACACATCGGTTATTTGAATAATCAGTCGTTATAATTCACGCTTTTTTTATCTACTCATCGTCATTATCATTCTCTTGAAAGTGTTCAATCTCTGTTCGTATATTGATTAAACCGAAGTTCTTGTGAACTTGTCAATGTTTTTTTAATCATACTGTACGAATTGAAGAGTTTCACCGACAAAGATTATTCAGCTTATCATCACGATGGTATAGCATATGATTATTATTCTAAAGCTGAACTCCAACAGTCAGAAATCGGCTATCAATGGAACATTTGTGCACTCCCGGGTGATTTAAATCCAAACGATATCTCACCAGCTCAGCCAACAAAGTTCTCCTTTATCGATGTGATTTCCATAATAACAAATGGTCGTCTAATCGAACGACATGTCAGTCATCTTTTTCACAGGTTTATCAACGATTGAATTTTGAAAATCGTTCCTTAACTCACGATCAACAACGACGATGTGCAATTACAATGGAACATGTCGATACCTGGTATGAAATAGCCGAACGGAACATTCGTTTAGCATTAATACTAGAAGATGACGCCATCTTCTTTCCATATTTCAAAGAAAAACTTCTTCGTATGATCTATAGACTCCTGCACACTGGTGCATTACGCTTCAACAAAATCTGTCTAACACAAAAACGAAAGCAAATCGCATCGAATGAATGGATAGATCAAAATCCGATGTTTGTTATCGGCACATGTTTTCGGTTTCATGATGAACATTTTCAAAAATTTCCATCCTATGGATTTCCACTGTTATCCACACAAAAATTCAATGCATCACGATGTACACATGCTTACCTATTAACACCATGCTCAGCTCGAGCACTGATCGAAGAACTCCAAGTGCAGAAAAACGACTTTCAGAATTCAGATTTTTTGCAGAATTATTTATTTCGTTTATCATCAACACTGCAATCATTCTGGATTGATCCGCCATTGGCTTATCAAGGCAATCAAATTCGTGACTATGATCATATTGAAACTTTTCGAAGTCAAACATATCTTGACTGATTTCGGAACCATTCGATTGTTTTTTGAATTCCGAGAGAGAGTGATGTCATTCGAAATGATGGATAAAGTTTTGAGAATACAGACATATTAGCTGTACGCCGTAACGGACCATCTTTGTTTGTATCATTATCGAACTGAATTACACCTCGGTAGTTCATTTGTTGAGCAATCAGTTGAACGAGTTGAGCGATGGAGATTTCCTCTCCGGCGACGATCAATGGTTGATCTTCACTGTAGCTTTCTAAGGACCATAGGACAATTCGAGCGAGATCTTCTGCGAACATAATTTGTCGAAGCGGTTGACCCGTTCCGATCATTTGTAGAGGAATCGATGGATTTTGATTTTCAATCTTTGCGATTAATGCATTGACAAGCGGTGCTGTATGCGGATTGAAATCGCCGTAAGCACCAAAGAAATTGCCTGGTAAGATTGAAACGAAATTGCAATGATATTCAGTTCTATACCATTGAGTTAATTTTGCTAAGGATCGTTTTGCATAGGCATACGATTCAGACGCTGGATGAGGAGAACCGTTGTAAATCGAAGATGTATCAATTGGTAATTGTGCATCTTTCGGAAACATGACTGTCGACAAAATGGAAACTAACTTTATCTGGCCGATCCATGTTTGAAATTCGTAGGCTGTTTTCAGAATATTATTGTTCACTGTAACGTTATCAAACCAGTATTCGACAGGTTTAGCAGACATTTCTTGGATCGATGCAAGACGTGCAGCACAATGAATAACACGCGTTGGTTGATATCGTTTAAAAATATTTTGCACATCTTCGACTCTTCGTAGATCACCATCTTCGCGAGTAATAAAGATCCATTCAGAATCCTTTGTTCGAATTTTTCGCGGTTTGGTGTCGGCGATTTCCGGTGAAGATGTTTGCTCTAAGACAACATCACGAATGTATCGACCCAACATGCCGTTACTGCCCGTAACTAACGTGAAATGATAAGGAGAGAATGGAAATGCTAACATGATATTCACGAGTTGATTGATCACAGCTTGATCAAGAGGAATTTGATGAACACCGATGAAAAACCCACGCGAATGAATCACTTCCGCGCCTGGATAGTTTTCCGGATGTTCTTCGTCACAGAATGTGGAAATACATGGCTGACGAATAAAATTTCCACTGATAATCGGACGATTTTCGATGCCGTTCTTTTCGAGATACTTCAAAAACTCACATCGTTGATGCGTATACGGACGATGCAGAAGAAAGGCTAAACCGAACCAAGCTGGATCGATCCCTTCCGAAGCTTCCATCAACGACATCAATGATGAAAATCTTTCATCACGTGAAAGACTTTCTCTAATCAGGCGAAAGTTCTCACGACGGTGTCGATTGAATTCATCGAGTTTATCTAATTGAACACTCAGCATGGCGCCTTGAACTTCTAACGGTCGAAGATTGTAACCCATATTAATAAACAAAAATCGACAATCAATATCAGGATATAGATCTTCAATCTGCTGACGATTTGTCAAATGTCTTGTCCAACCATGAGCGCGCAAACAACGGAGGAAATTGTAATCATCTTCTGTATGACATGTTATCATTCCACCTTCACCGCTAGTAATATGATGTGAAAAATAGAATGAAAATGTTCCGAAATCTCCAAATGTCCCTAACATTTTGCGTTGACTATTTCCATCGATTAAACAATAACTTCCCAACGATTCACATGTGTCTTCAATTAGAAGAAGTCCATGTCGTCGAACAAATTCCATCAATAACTTCATGTTAACTGAGTTTCCGAGCACATGAACAGCCATGATTGCTTTCACATGATTGGTTAATTTGCGTTCGAGTTCGTGAATTGAAATATTAAACGTACGTGGATCAACATCGACGAAAATTGGACGAAGACCGTGTTGAATCAATGGAAACACACTTGTCGACCAAGAAACAGCTGGTACGAGAACATGATCACCTGCTTGACAATGTCTTGTTCGTAATTTGTTCGCTATTGCTGACACAGCCAATAAATTTGCCGAACTTCCTGAATTGACCATCACAGCGTAAGGTACACCAACAATTTCTGCAAATTTCTTTTCAGCATGTTCAATTTGTTTGCCTAATGTTAATCGACCTGTCAATAAAACGTCCGTCATGGCTAAAATTTCGTCTTCACCAAACGGATTCATCGCTAATGGAAATAAAAGTGACACATCTTTCGTTTCAGCTAAACGACGAGCTCTCCACTCATTTGTAATAGTCGTTTTCCATTCCGAAGAAGAGGACGTTTCACTAGTCATGTTCAATAAAAGTCTGAAGGTGTAAGTTAATGAATGGCGGAAAGAAAGGAAAAGCCTTTTCTCTCTCTGTTCTGTCGATAGTCACGATTTATTTGCCCGATGGCGTAAGTAGCGTTCCGATTAATGAAGCATACGCCTCATTAGTACCGATCAAATTGGAAAAAGAGAAACGGATGTGTGTTTAACTCAATAAATCGATAGAAACTTTTCTTTTCCTTTTCCTCAGTACACTTTTCTCCAACGAAAAGAACACTTTGACAATGCAGACAAATTCAATCTGTTGCGATGATATTTCCGAACAGAATTCGAGCACGATTGTTGTCTTGATCATCTATTGTATCTCTGGAACGTTTTTAACATTATTAAACAAAATTACCGTGGCTCTTTTTCCATATGCAAATCTTCTTTTGATCGTACAGAATACCTTCGCAGTAGTTCTGTTGATTTTCTGTTCGCGATATTTCCATTCAACTTTTGGAGCTCTACCAGCATTGAATCGAACGGTGTTACAACTTTGGATGCCATTGGTTCTCTTGTTTGTTCTCATGTTAATCTCAAGTTTAACTGCATTGATCTATGTCAGTGTCCCAACAGTGATCGTCATGAGGAATTTAACCAGTTTATTTGTCGCATTTTTGGAATATCTGTTTCTCAATCACAAAACCAATCGCTTTTCAATTTTCATTCTACTCGGAATGCTAGGCGGCGCTGGACTCTATGCAAAACATGATTTCACTTTCAATGTTCAAGGTTATGTTTGGTTAGGTGTGAATATAATCAGTACGAGTGTTTATCAAATATATATTAAGAAAATCATTCATTTGGCTTATTTCGAAAATATCGGACCGATTGGAATGTCTTATTATAACAATTTACTATCATTACCTGTACTTTGGATAATTCTTTGTGTAACAGGAGAATTGAGAAGATTAGTGATGAATTTTGAACTTGAACATTCTCAGACGATGTTATCGATTATTTTAATATTGATCTCCAGTCTTCTGGGCTTTGCCTTAAGTATCTCAGCATTTGCGTTGAATAAATTAATATCTGCGACGTCGATGATGGTGACGAACAATGTTAATAAATTTTCGGTGATTGTTCTCAGCGAAATATTCGTCAAATCAACTTTGGATATCATTGCTTCGATAGGTGCAATTTCCGTTCTTTTTCTCGGCTGGCTGTATTCGCAAACGACCAGATCAGCGTCAAAAAGTTGCTTTGGTATTCTGACCATTGCCCTTATTATTTTCGCTGCAATTATTGAAACTAAATATATTAAAACTCTTCGTTTTGGTAACGATGATTATTACAAAGACTTCCAACCGATTATGTACAATCAGACAATATCTTATCGATATCCGATGAAAGCGATTACAACGATGAAGCAACGTCAAGGTTATGACATTTATCGAGCATATTTGCCTCAATCGACCAAAGCGCGTCGTTTAGCACCGAAAATCGAAGTCCGACCTGTTCAAGATTATTCTCTCCCTGAAAATTGTCGAAATCGGAATGCATCTATCTGGAAAACATGTAATGCTCGTCAATGCCAACCATATACCAGATCAATAAATTGGGATTATCCACAAAAAACAATATTTGGAGAAAATGCCAATGAATTTATCAATCGAATATTAGAAATTGCTTGGGGAACAAATCCGCCGTCGATTGATCTCTACCTGCGCGGTGGTTGCCATGGCATCATGGAAATGAAGTACCTTTTCGAAAGCATCGAACTATTTTGGCCGAGATTTCTCGGTTCAGTTATCATCGTACTCGATGTGGGCGATGAACCAATTCTGAAATACTTCTTACCGCGACAGCCCACACATCATTATCTGGTCACTTTTGAACATACACCTTGTTTACCTGGACGAGTATTCAATCAATATAGTTATTTAAACCTCGATCGACATTCTCGCGCTGAATATATCGTCACAATTGATAGTGATTGTGTACTGCATGCGCCAGTTACACCAGATTTGATTTTTCGCCAAGGAAAAATTATCTTACCGTCATCGCAGTCGTTTCAGCCAGACTTATGGCGGCGATCACTGGAAGCTGTGATGGGCACAGGGATGTATGATGGGCACTACATGGTCACACAACCAGTTACATTCGCTCGAACAACATTTTTGGCATTTCGAGAATGGTTCTATGAAACCAAGAGCAAATGTTATGAAGATCATTTAACGCAGCTGTCATCAGTGCATTACCAAGAATTTTGTTGGATGTGTCAAGTCGGTAGTTATTTGGAACGTGGACACGCAAAGAAAAATGATTATGACCGATATTGGTATCAGCATTTTGATAATGAATCGTTAGAACCAATGATAAGATTTGCAATCCACGTTCCTTATGAACCATTTTTGGCCAGTGCAATACAATGTCGAGAAGTGATATGTTATGAAAAAAGTGTTAATGAAATCATCAGACAAGGTCTGTGTCGTGCATTTGGTCCATCGATATTTCCAGTTTGTATGCATAATATCAATTTTAATTATGTCAATAATGTCACGTTCTCTTACGCACTATTCGAAATCCAGGCAGCGAATAGATCTACTCGCATTCATGCATTAAATGAATATTTGAAACGTTTAGCACGTGTCACAATGATTGCTTTAGACCATTAATGATCATAAGTCTTTTTCTTTATTTTTTAAATAAACGAGATACACATCCTCAAACAGGGTGACTCTAAGGCAAGAAGTAGCATGAAAAGTTAAGCAGCAAAGCATGCAGATAGTTCAATTAATGTCCTGATAGAAATGTTGATCGAAATCGATTCAACTGTTTCCGAATTGCACTCTGAAATTCTTTTCGGTAATTAGCAGATGGCAATACAAATGTCGAGAATGTCAAAATCGGAGGTACAAATGATACAAAATATCCAAGAACGTACATCCATGGATCACGAGGTGTTCTCATACATCCACTCACAAATAGCAGAATTAGACGAGGTGTGCCCAACACAACTAACATTAGTGGAGATATCAATAAATGTTTGTGTCGAAATAATTGCTCTTTCAGATGCTGATCAAACGATTTGTTTCTTTGGGCGTGAGATCGACTTCGAGTGACTAAAATGATGATCATAATCGCTGAGATTATATTGATGATGAGAGGACCAAGAAAGTGAACGAGGTTGATGACATAGTTGTAGGTATGAACTATCGGCGGGTAATCAGCAAAACACCAGATTCTCTGATCATTCTCATCCACATCGGTGATCAGCCGCCGATAGTATGGATCGTGAACATGTGAAAGTAGCGTGAAAACAATCACGGCTGCAATGACCCATGGTGCTAGTTGTCTGCTTCCTTTTTTGTTGAATTTTGGGCCAGTCATTGTGCTAACTGTTCTCTCGATGGCAACACAAGCAATGAGCCACTCATTCGATACTAACAATGACTTGAGAATCATGTCGATAGACTTGCAACTAAGCAAGATATAATCTCTGTTCTCAATTGTTGCCATCTGTGAAAGAATCAGATGTAGAAATTTCAGTACTAATGTGATGATAAGTAGTAGTGAAATGATCGAAGATGTTAACAGATAGTATCCACAGCCCACTTCTCTGGGGTTTTTCATATGAAATGTTAGTATTGATAGGATAACATCGATCAAACCTAAGAGAAAGATTGCTAGTGTAATTACCATGGTAACTTTGATGATCAAAGGCTGAGAAGAAAAGGAAATATTGGGTTTGATGTAATAGCTGATGATCGGATCAAGTGAGAAAAGATTTCCTTGCGTTGACATTTGACATTTTCCACCATAGAAGCAATCTTGACAAACACAAATTGACACTGTTGGACATGTGTGGTTGTTTTGAAAACATTGCCCATGATTTTCACAGTCGTTGTGCCCTCGACAAGAGTTGTCGACTGTATGATTGAATGTGAAACAATTTGCAAATCGATCGAGATCGCAAACACACAATGATGTGCTGTCTTGAAAACACATAAGATCTCGATATTGCCGACATACAAATGGATAGAATTTTCGGTCATCGTCGGATTTATACTCGAGAAATGTGATGTTCAGAAAGGGTCTGACATGTGGACAAAGTTGTTTTGAGGTGATGTGATTATCAATGTTTTCGAGTGGAACGAACTGTTCTCGAACAATGGCCAAGTAATAACTTTGATTCTGTAGTTGGAGAAAGACAAGGTGGAATTCTCTGTTGGTGTAAAATACCACTGTGTTTGTGTCGACTGGAATTCTCTTCGACACTGTCCTTCTTTCTTGTTCGGCTTGCTCGTGCATGGTGATAAAATGAGCAGACACGAATGAAGAAGTTCGAGCGATCGTTTCATGCAAATGCAGATTGATGCGAGAACTGAGATACTCACAGTTGCGACCAAAATACCGCTCTTTGCAATGGCATGAGTATCCATGTAGATCGATGCGATCATCCACTGGAATGCACAATCCTCCATTTTGACATGGACTGTTCGTCGACGAACAGAGTGATCGCTCGAGATAACATATCCGTCCAAATCGATGCAATGGACAGACGCAGATATTTGATGCCACACACACTGAGCTACTCGAACAATGACATGCTTGTGATATGTTGCAGAATGGACCCGAATAGTGTCGATGGCATTGACAGAAGTGCTTCGACTCGGTGTTTGCGTATTGCACACATCGGCCATGTGTACCACATGGTAGAGGACAAGACTTATTTGTTGATGGTTGTTTTGGGATGAAGAGTTGAGCGGCTATTCGGTTGACAGGAAGAAACTGAAAGGGAATCGGCAGATGCCAGCTGGTCCAATGTTTCAGCGTGACTTTGTCGAAGAGATCGATGCGAACAGAATAGTTTGTCGAAGAAGATTTGGGTCGGTGTGGATACAAAAGATAGAGATGGAATTTGGTTCCACAGTGTTGAATGGGTGCAAAGAGAATGTGTTCGTGGTTGCCGATGATTTCATTGTGCTGGTTGATGAGGATGGCAATGACTTGGAAAATAGCCGAAATGAATATGGTTGAAGGTGAGATGAACTGGAGTGTGAGGCTTATTCGTTGACTTTGCCATTGACATTGCGATCCAAAGTAGCTTGGTGGACAAAGACAAGTAGTTGTTTGATTTTGTCCGAATAGAACAAGGATGCCTCGATTGCAGAGCAATGTTTGTGTGATATTCATTGGAACATATTTCCTTTTCTTTCCATTAATTGTGGAAGCACGCCTGATACTTGTTGGTAAGTTAATGGCAGGGAAACTACCTAGTCTAAAAGTAGTTTGAAATAGATGTCGACGAGAAACTGTTTGATGGATTCTTAAACGGCATAATTTCCTCCGTGTACTGAATAATATCAATGGTTGTGAGCTAATCAAATATGGAATAGATGGCTCATATAAACATTTGTCTCCCCTCTCTGTCACCGATGAATGAAAACCAGTTTGACAAATGTTTGTTGTACGAATGCATTTCGTTGTGTTCCATGAGTAATATGTACTTTCATTGATAATGCTTTCATTATTGAAATAGAATGACCGTTCGCCATATATAGAACACTCACTATGAATTTGTTCCACTATTTGACTTAGGGGCACGCAGTAAGTTGTTCTGGCTTGATCATTAATACATTGGTGCGCATTCGCTGAACAGTTTGAATACGAACAGTTCAGTTCATCAATGCCATTTGGGCAGTCCCATATCCCGTCGCAATGAACATATGGATTGTCACATGGCCATAATTCACAATACATGGCGTCTGCGCTTTTATCATAAATTTGTTGTGCAGCTGAGCCAAGACAGAATGCTGAATAAGGTTTTGTCTTGTTAAAATCTCTTTTGTGAAAAATACTTTCATCATCATTACGGTGTGATCGACAATCTAGAATGCCATTGCCAATCACAACTGGTGACAAACATTTTGACTCCCACTCTGAACACTCGAATCGGCGCGAGTCATTGAATGAACAGGCAGAAAATGATTCATCTTCCCCAAAATAGCAATCTCTGTAGCCATCTTGAACACGATGATATGCAATACATTTTCTTGATTGAGGACAGTGAAAGTGAGTCGAACTGTTACAAGAATCTTCAATACCTCCGGTTGAACAGCCTTGAAGAATGCTGGCTAGATTTTTTAGTAATTCTCTTAAGTAATATACTTGATGGCTCATGGTTAAATCAGACGCGTGCATGCATCTCGATTCATTGATTATTCCAGTAATAGTCATCCGATTCTCCAAAACAGGACACTTCTTAATGTCAATGCAGATAAGATCAGGTTGAATGTTTTGTTTAAATTCGTCAACCGATCGATTAGTGAAGTAGATCAGCTGAAGAAAGCCAAAATCATGTGGATACTTTGGCAAAACTAACCATTGTGATGAGCATTTGCTTTGCAATGGTTCGCAATCTTTGTTGGTTGAGTTTTGTGGAATGGGTGTATCAAAGCTCGTGATTATAATGTCTGAAACATCTCAATAAAGCGAATGTATACATCTTCGAACGATTCAGTCTTACCAAATCTTCGATTTCGATGAAGTGCGCAATCGAATGCCTTTCGGCAATCATTATCATCGATATGATCTAACGATTTGAATATTTGTCGTGCAGCGATCTGATCGCGGAAACTGTCACATCGGTAGATATCGTTCGGTATATATGCACCGTTAGTGTATTGACCATCACCACATACAAACTGTCGAGGATATCGTGGAGTTCGTTCTTCACATCGAAATATCGGCAAGTTTACACAATTGGGATTGTATGACACTGGATTCAAATTGAATCCTTGCTTAACATCCTCGTGTTCATCACTTCCATCTAAACAATCCACACTACTAAGACTTTCCCAGGCAAACTCCATCGGAATACATTGACCATTATGACATCGATATTCATTTTCATTGCACTCATTCCATTCTAGCTCTTCACATCCTCGTTCGTCTTCACCATCAAGACAATCGACTTTTCCATCACAAACTTCACGCCAATCCAAGCATAGGGGCCACGATTCATTGTTGCAGCTTTCAATAAAGCCATAACATACTCCAGTGTTTGAGAATGAACTTGATCGCTGATCAAACGACTCATGAACAATCTCACTGAATGTGATCGATGGATCATATGGAAACTTGTATTGACATTCGCTGCCAAACCATGGTAATGTGCAGTTGTAGACAAGGCTTACATTGTTGATCTGGTATTCTTCGGCAATGTCAACTGGTAAGGACCAACTGAGTAGATGTTCGGCAGTAACTCCATTTTGTATGAATTCTACTGCAGAATGTTGATTTCTCGCATGTGTCGATTGTTGTTGATGTCGATCTGGTCTTCGACAGTAGGGAATGAGATAGTAATTGTGAATGTAGGGCGCGCCAGTGGTTAACTTTCCATCCACGTCCCAAACAGCATAGAGACAATCATAGGCAAGCGACAGAATATCTGCCTCGCTCGAATGATACATGAGATAATAAGCATCGATAGGGTGGCGTAAGGAAAAAAAGATGAACGTATATAGAAGAAGCATTTTCCAGCTTATTCTTCTTGGAATATTGCACATTGTGATTACGATTTTCTGTTTTTAATGAAAAATCCGAACTTCCTCTTTTTCAAGATAAGGAGAAACAGCAAATACACTTTTCATTCTTCTGTGTAAAATCATCAACCAGTTCTGAGTGCTTGTTTCCTCAGATTAACAAAAAAAAAGTGCTTTTACCACGCCTAAATATGACGTATAGCGACGAGAAAGAAAAAAGATATAGTCAGGAACATTGTATGTTATCTCTGCCAGTCGAAGGACTTTTCTATTACAGTATACTTTTAACTCGCCATGAGATGTTGGAACATGTTGTTAAATATACATTTTTATGTCGTTCAACAGAATCGTGTATTCAGCTATGAAAAAGTATAAGTAATGATAATGATTTTTGAATTATATAGAGGACATTTCTATTGGTCGACTTCGTGGGCGCTCGCAGCGCACAGCAACATTTCCTATCAATGTTTAGATACAACAAAACGCGTAAAGAACGCTGTACATCAGGGTGTGGGTATCGAGATGGATACACCGACTCAGCTGCATATGATATCGTAGAGAATTGTCTGCTTATGGATAAATACCGGGTGTAACGGGATTATGACATCACTCTCTTAAATACAAAACAAATTCATTTGTCTTGTAAATTTCCAATGTTCAACTGTAAGTTCAAATTGAATTGAAAGAATGAACAAAACTGAGGTAAGTGATCTGTGAACATTGCATACCAATGCCGAGAGAAAAAAAGTTCCGAGACATTAGAATTAATGAGATCTTGCAGTACATCAATCGAATGGAAAAGCATGTGTAAAAACTTTATTTTTTGCGGAATGGAAGTGCATAAGACATGAAATTGAGTACTTGCACGTCCCACTGGTCGGGAGAGGTTGCTGAATGAAGAAACAAACCTTCTCTCAGAAAAACGATCATCCCGAGTGTCAAAACGGAATGTATAGGGATTGTTCAGATCGATTATCAAGGACAACTATGATAATAACTTTGAATTGCGTGAAACTATTTGATCAAACCAGAGCGATCGCAGACGAGCGAATGATTGGGCATGGTTTCGTCCGAAGAGATACTAATCGAAAAGGTTAAAGTCAGCATAGCCAAGTTTCACTGCAATGATTTGCGAGAGAGAAATATTTGAACAAATGAAATCCATTTCTGTCTTGCGGGTATCCAGTAAAAGATTTCATCACAATAGAAATAGGAGAATATTTCGTGCATCGTTTCCGAAGCGAAACAGTCGAAATCTGTTTTGCCCATTCTCTACTTCGGATCACCTCTAAATCGATTGGTCTAGAAAAGAGAAGAATGGGTATTACTGATACTCTGAAGATTTCGTAAATAGGTAAGTCAGAATCAAATCCACTCATCAGACAGTATATTGGATGATCTTTACCACTAAAACCTGTCAATAATGACCTTCCGAACAAGACAATGATTCCACAGTTGTGATGTCATTTTGTACCTGGTTGATCACAATCAATTTCTTGGATTCGAAATAAATGCTGACGTAAACCGTATACAGCAATACAAATACAATATACATCGATAAGAATTCGTATGCGTCTTTCAATGAAGGTAACTGTTTCTTTCATTGATTTTACGAAGGAATACAGTAGTATACCCAAAATGTATGCAATGCTTAGGAAGAAAGAGGCAAGAATCCAGAGAGGACTACTGTGTAGTTGCGTACAACTGTAGTCAGCGAGAACTACATGAGGGTCCGCATAAGGTGACGCGACACAAGTCTGACATATGGCAGCAGCCATGAACAGTATTATTTCGGTTGTTTATCTCCTTCTTCATGTCAGAAGTAACGAAGCGTTTCTACCTTGAATGAGTCATCATATCATACTTGCTATATTCTAGTGATTTTTTCATCCGATATGATACCATTGATCACAGCTGACGTATATATATTGAATGTGTACGAATTCAACACTTTTAAGTATCTATCAGTTTATTTGAGGGTGTTCATCGATTATAGCTTTCTTAGTATGATATACGATCGGAAAGGATTTCGTTGAAAATTTTCCATGCCCTTTTCTCGCAATTCATCCTTGAATGCTTTCCAAAACCTGTTCACCGTATCCATTCGTTCTTCGTCCGTTCGATCTTTTCTTAGGCAACTGAGAAAACTTGATTCGGACCAACTGCGTACGAATTCTGTGTACTTGTCGATGGCTTCTTCCAAAGTAATCTGTTTCGAGCGATACTCCTCGTAAATAGGGTGTTGCAATGAATGTATGTCGGCACAAATCAATTCCAAGTTGAGTTCTTTGAGAACGTCAGGATCAGTTTGCTCGTCAATACTGCGATAATAACCTTGTATGTTAAAATTGAGCAATTCATCTTCGTCGGAAAGAACAGCTTTTGCTGATCGATAAAGATTGTGATAAATTGGTAAATTACCCGTATCGTTCAGATGATTACGACTGAGTGTGACGGACAGAAAGATACCTCCTAGAAAAAGAAATATATAAGCACAATAGGACTTTTGTGGTACGGTGAAAGTGCCTGACCTTTTTTTAGCTCCTTCGAGCGTTGCTCTAAAAATAATCGATAATCTGTTGCTGCTTGTTCTCTCCACAACTTCATTTCTTCGTCAGTTGATTGTCCAGCTAGAGAATAGCAATGTTTGCTCAGATTACACGGTTTCTTCGACAACCAATGCAGTGCTGTTGAAGTATAACCAAATTGAACCGAGCCAGTCGGTAAGATTTGTTCGTAGAATGATGTGCCTGTCGCCAGACTGAAGAATTTTCTAGTTGATGCATTAGCAATGACTGTTTGAAATACTGTTGTCCAATCATTCGTGTACAAGTCATTGAATATCACGCAGATCTCGTTGGTAAGTGCGTATCTCTGCTGGAACGCTTGAATGATAGCATTGATGGCAACTAATGAATTTGCACCATGTGAACATCCATAGTCAGCGATGAAAAATGGTTGCGAGGTCGAAGAAGTATCAGCGGTATGTTCTTGGACAGCTCTTTCGATGTAAGCAAATGATTTCTGTATGGCTGTCAGTTGCGGAGTGCTATTCATGTTGTAATGTTCATTTTGTTTCATCACATTTGGAGTCTCCATTTTTATTTCAGTGTTTAATTTCAGTATCGATTGCACACAATGTATGTGCTGTAAGACAATAACGATTAAAACATGCCAACATTATATATTTTTCTCTTTCGTTCTTATCTTACACTACGTATCAGTTGCACTGTATACAGAAGCGGTTCACGCCAAGAATGTCCTTTTGTTTTTCTTCCTCACACATATATATATTCATGCAAGAGTACGAAAAGCAAAAGGCCAGTCACGCCCTGAGTCATCGAAGCAGTAACACTCTCATGTAAACATTTTCTAGATTGAATCCTTGTATTTGCTAGATTTAGAATCGTTTATTTTGTTAGAATTAATATCAATTTAAAATATCTCGGTTATGTGTTAGGTGAACATACTACACTACAGTCCAATGTGTGAATACAATATGTTGAAGTTGAAGAGTTCCTCATATTAGTTTTTCCCAACATTCTCTTTCATCCGCAGTTAAGTGAATCGTTGATTTAGCTTTAGTATAGAGATCTTTTGTAGCCCAATGCAACGATCCACTTCGACTTTTCTTTGTTGCTTCACCAATATATCCTGGTGCATTTGAGTTACATCGAATACGCGTATCCCATACCCATTCCCATCCTAAGAATCGTCCTTTTTGATTGTATATGCATGAGGTTTCGCAGATACGTGAACTCTTCGCTTTAGACCAGCCTTCATTTGCCTTAAAGCTATTAACAAATGCACCAACACATTCATGAGGATTTCCGTTCAATAGGCTTCCTCCACATAGTCTCATTGGATGATCTTTACTATATTGTACATTTCGAGCTAAATCTGCATCGCAACTGTACCAGAACAGAGCAACAGTTAATTGCAAGGCTAACCAAATTGTCGACAATTTCATTTTGATCGATGAAAAGAAGCGATTTTAGTGAAGTCGAGTCAGTTGGAGAATTGCCGTTATATAGTCTACACAAGATAAGAACAAAGAAGCATTTCGATATTTATTTGTGCGTGATAGCTTCGATTGTTTTAATCTGCAGTGACATTTTCAGCGATAGTTTCAGCGAGCTCGGAATGGTTTTGTATGAAAGGCTGAGAACTAGGTTCTAGAGGACTAGATACAGGGATGTCTTCAAAAGAGCAGTTGCGAATTTTCCAATGAGTTTTTTCGCAGCACCGTCGACGAGCGATCCATACAGTGCTCACTGTAACTCCAAGGACTAGGATCATAGGTAAAACAACTGTAAAAATTTTTGAAGCGCGAAAGTTGCTTTTAATGGTCGATGTTGCAGTTGTTAGTCCTTTATCCATGTTCATCGCTGAGGTAAACGTTATTCGTGTGCTTGTAAACGTAGTTGTCGTTTCTTTTATCGTTATTCTACTAATGATTGGTGCAATGACTGTTCTTGTCGCAGGAGTCAAATAGGTATCTAGGGCTACAGAAATAGTACACAACGAGCGATCATTTTTCAATTTAAATTTTGAGATGCAGGCCCCTTAGACTTACATTCAATGTTGCAATTATCGATTTGACAACAACCGATGCTACCTTGAAACTCAGNCTGAGATTATGTTGATGATGAGAGGACCAAGAAAGTGAACGAGGTTGACCAGATAGTTGTAGGTATGAACTATTGGCGGGTAATCAGCAAAACACCAGATTCTCTGATCATTCTCATCCACATCGGTGATCAGCCGCCGATAGTATGGATCGTGAACATGTGAAAGTAGTGTTAAAACAATCACGGCTGCAATGACCCATCGTGCTAGTTGTCTGCTTCTTTTTTTGTCGAATTTTGGGCCAGTCATTGTGCTAACTGTTCTCTCGATGGCAACACAAGCAATGATCCACTCATTCGATACTAACAATGACTTAAGAATCATGTCGATAGACTTACAACTAAACCAGAGATAATCTCTGTTCTCAATTGTTGCCATCTGTGAAAGAATCAGATGTAGAAATTTCACTACTAATGTGATGATCAGTAGTAGTGAAATGATCGAAGATGTTAACAGATAGTATCCACAGCCTACTACTCTGGGGTTTTTCATATGAAATGTTAGTATTGATAGGATAACATCGATCAAACCTAAGAGAAAGACTGTTAGTGTAATTACCGTGGTAACTTTGATGACCAAAGGCTGAGAAGAAAAGGAAAGATTGGGTTTGATGTAATAGCTGATGATCGGATCAAGTGAGAGAAGATTTCCTTGGGTTGATATTTGACATTTTCCACCACAGAAGCAATCTTGACAAACACAAATCGACACTGTTGGACATGTGTAGTTGTTTTGAAAACATTGCCCATGGTTTTCACAGTCGTTGTGTCCTCGACAAGAGTTGTCGACTGTATGATTGAATGTGAAACAGTTTGCAAATCGATCGAGATCACAAACACACAATGATGTATCGTCTTGAAAACACATAAGATGCCGATGTTGTCGACATACAAATGGATAGTATTTCCGGTCATCGTCGAAGTTATACTCGAGAAATGTGATGTTCAGAAAGGGTCTGACATGTGGACAAAGTTGTTTTGAGGTGATGTGATTATCAATGTTTTCGAGTGGAATGAACTGTTCTCGAACAATAGCCAAGTAATAGGTTTGATTCTGTAGTTGGAGAAAGACAAGGTGGAATTCTCTGTTGGTGTAAAATACCACTGTGTTTGTGTCGACTGGAATTCTCTTCGACACTGTCCTTCTTTCATGTTCGGTTTGCTCGTGCATTGTGATAAAATGAGCAGACACGAAAGAAGAAGTTTGAGCGATAACTTCATGCAAATGCAGATTGATGCGAGAACTGAGAAGCTCGCAGTTGCGACCGAAATACTGTTCTTTGCAATGACATGAGTATCCATGTAGATCGATGCGATCATCCACTGGAATGCACAATCCTCCATTTTGACATGGACTGTTCGTCGACGAACAGAGTGATCGTTCGAGATAACATCTCCGTCCAAATCGATGCAATGGACAGACGCAAATTTTTGATGACACACACACTGAGCTATTCGAACAATGGCATGTTTGTGATATGTTGCAGAATGGTCCCGAATAGTGTCGATGGCATTGACAGAAGTAGCTCGACTCGGTGTTTGCGTATTGCACACATCGTCCATGTGTACCACATGGTAGAGGACAATACTTGTTTGTTAATGGTTGTTTTGGGATGAAGAGTTGAGCGGCTATTCGGTTCACAGGAAGAAACTGAAAGGGAATCGGCAGATGCCAGCTGGTCCAATGTTCCAGTGTGACTTTGTCGAAGAGATCGATGCGAATAGAATAGTTTGTTGAAGGAGATTTGGGTCGGTGTGGATACAAGAGATAGAGATGAAATTTGGTTCCACAGTGTTGAATGGGTGCAAAGAGAATGCGTTCGTGGTTGCCGATGATTTCATTGTGTTGGTTGATGAGGACGACAATGACTTGGAAAATAGCCGAAATGAATATGGTTGAAGGTGAGATGAACTGGAGTGTGAGGCTTATTCGTTGACTTTGCCATTGACATTGCGATCCAAAGTAGCTTGGTGGACAAAGACAAGTAGTTGTTTGATTTTGTCCGAACAGAACAAGGATGCCTCGATTGCAGAGCAATGTTTGTGTGATATTCATTGGAACATATTTCCTTTTCTTTTCATTAATTGTGGGAACACGTCTGATACTTGTTGGTAAGTTAATGGCTGGGAAACTACCTAGTCTAAGAGTAGTTTGAAATAGATGTCGACGAAAAAATGTTTCATTGATTTTTAAACGGCATAATTTCCTCCGTGTATTGAATAATATCAATGGTTGTGACCTAAGCACATATGGAATAGATTGCTGATATAAACATTTGTCTCCCCTCTCTGTCACGGGTGAACGGAAACCAATTTGACAAATGTCTGTTGTACGAATGCAGTTCGTTGTGTTCCATGAGTAATATGTACTTTCATTGACAATGCTTTCATTATTGAAATAGAATGACCGTTCGTCATATATGGAACACTCACTATGAATTTTTTCCACTATTTGACTTAGGGGCACACAGTAAGTTGTGCTGGTTTGATCATTAATACATTGGTGCGCATTCGCTGAACAGTTTGAATACGAACAGTTCAATTCATCAATGCCATTTGGGCAGTCCCATATCCCGTCGCAATGAACATATGGATTATCACATGGCCATAATTCACAATACATGGTGTCTGCGCTTGTATCATGAATTTTTTGTGCTGCTGAACCAAGACAGAATGTTGAATAAGGTGTTGTCTCGTTAAAATCTCTTTTGTGAAAAATACTTTCATCATCATTACGGTGTCGTTGACAATTTAGAAGGCCATTGCCAATCACAACTGGTGACAAACATTTTGACTCCTGCTCTGGACACTCGAATCGGCGCGAGTCATTGAATGAGCAGGCAGGAAATGATTCATCTTCCCAAAAAGAGCAATCTTTATAGCCATCTTGAACACGATGATATGCAATACATTTTCTTGATTGAGGACAGTGAAAGTGAGCCGAACTATTACAAGAATCTTCAATGCCTCCGGTTGAACAGCCTTGAAGAACGTTGAATAGTAGATCTTTTAGTAATTCTCTTAAGTAATATACTTGATCTCTCATGGTTAAATCAGACGCGTACATGCATCTCGATTCATTGATTATTCCAGTAATAGTCATCCGATTCTCCAAAACAGGACACGTCTTAATGTTAATGCAGACAAGATCAGGTTGAATGTTTTGTTTAAACTCGTCAACCGATCGATTAGTGAAGTAGATCAGCTTAAGAAAGCCGAAATCGTGTGGATACTTTGGCAAAACTAACCATTGTGATGAGCATTTGCTTTCCAATGGTTCGCAATCTTTGTTGGTTGAGTTTTGCGGAATGGGTGTGTCAAAGACCGTGATTGTAGTGTCTGAAACATCTCAATAAAGCGAATGTATACTTCTTCGAACAATCCAGTCTTACCAAATCTTCGATTTCGATGAAGTGCGCAATCGAATGCCTTTCGGCAATCATTATCATCGATATGATCTAACGATTTGAATATTTGTCGTGCAGCGAACTGATCGCGGAAACTGTCACATTGGTAGATATCGTTCGGTATATATGCACCGTTAGTGTATTGACCATCACCACAAACAAACTGTCGAGGATATCGTGGAGTTCGTTCTTCACATCGAAATATCGGCAAGTTTACACAATTGGGATTGTATGACACTGGATTCAAATTGAATTCTCGCCGAACATCGTCGTGTTCATCACTTCCATCTAAACAATCCACACTACTAAGACTTTCCCATGCAAACTCCATCGGAATACATTGACCATTATGACATCGATATTCATTTTCGTTGCACTCATTCCATTCTAGCTCTTCACATCCTCGCTCGTCTTCACCATCAAGACAATCGGCTTTCCCATCACAAATTTCACGCCAATCCAAGCATAAGGGCCACGATTCATTGTTGCAGCTTTCAATAAAGCCATAACACACTCCGGTGCTTGAGAATGAACTTGATCGTTGATCAAACGACTCATAAACAATCTCACTGAATGTGATCGATGGATCATATGGGAACTTGTATTGACATTCGCTGCCAAACCATGGTAATGTGCAGTTGTAGACAAGACTTACATTGTTGATCTTGTATTCTTCGGTAATGTCAACTGGTAAGGACCAACTGAGTAGATGTTCAGCAGTAACTCCATGTTGTATGAATTCAACGGTAGAATGTTGATTACTCGCATATGTCGATTGTTGTTGATGTCGATCTGGTCTTCGACAGTAGGGAATGAGATAGTAGTTGTGAATATAGGGTGCGCGAGTGGTTAACATTTCATCCATGTCCCAAACAGCATAGAGACAATCATAGGCAAGTGAGAGAATGTCTGCCTTGCTCGAATGGTACATGAGATAATAGGCATCGATAGTGAGGCATACGGAAAAAAAGATGAACGTATATAGAAGAACCATTTTACAGCCTATTCTTCTTTGAATATTATACATTGTGATTACGATTTTCTCTTTTATGGAAAATACGAACTTCCTCTTTTTCAAGATAAGGAGAAACAGCAAATACACTTTACAGTCTGCTGTGTAAAATCATGAAACAGTTCTGGGTGGCTTTTTCCTCAAATTAACAAAAAAAGGGCTTTTATCACGTCTAATATGACGTACAGCGACGAGAAAGAAAAAAGATATAGTTAACAACACTGTATAAAATCTCTGTGCTTCGAAGGATTTTTCTATAAAAGTATACCTTTAACTCGCCATGTGATGTCAAAGTATGTTCTTAAATATACATTTTTATGCCATTCAACAAAATCGTGTAGTCAGCCATGAAAAAGTATATAAGTCATCATAATGAGTTTTGAATTATATGGAAAACATTTCTATTGATCGGCTTTGTGGACGCTCGCGGCGCGCAGCAACATTTCCTGTCAATGTTTAGATACAGCAGAACGTGTAACGAACTCTGTACATCGCGCAAATTATAACACCAAAGCCTACTATGGGAAACTATACTGTGCATTTCAGTGTACTCATCTCAATCCATGAACATTTATAGATAAATTAATCAAAGAAGAGAATAGCATACATTCGAAGATTGTGTACGCTCTAGCAGGTCGCGAACTTCGAAGTTTATTCCAAATATCGAATTTTTCTCTTCCTTTTGGTTGACTCACTGTTATAGGTAGTGAATAGTGGTGTATTTGTCTCGGAGATAGTTTCACAAATAATTTTGCTGACAAGCAATTGGCAGGCGAAACGATTGGTAAATAGATAAGAAACATTTGTTCGACGGAGCATCTTCATCTCATTTCGATTACCGTTGTAGCTAAACACCGCCAGTATTCGTATTGATAACACCTTGGGGGTGAGGGTGTGGGTGGTCGCTGAATACACGAAATTCACTCACATTCGTCAGGTTCTCAACACACACACAGGCATGGGTATCGTGTTGGATAGACCGACTCAGCTGCATATGGTATCGTAGCGAATTGTCTGCTTTTGGATGAATACCGGATGTAACGGGATTATGACATCACTCTCTTAAATACAAAACAAATTCATTTGTCTTGTAAATTTCCAATGTTCAACTGTAAGTCCAAATTGAATTGAAATAACTGTGTTCATTGATGGTTTTGAAAGAATGAACAAAACTGAGGTAAGTGATCTGTGGACATTGCATACCAATGCCGAGAGAAAAAAAGTTGCGAGACATTAGAATTAATGAGATTTTGCAGTACATCAATCGAATCGAAAAGCATGTGTAAAAACTTTATTTTTTGCGGAATGGAAGTGCATAAGACATGAAATTTAGTACTTGAATGTCCCACTGGTCGGGAGAGGTTGTTGAATGAAGAAACAAACCTTCTCTCAGAAAAACGACCATCCCGAGTGTCAAAACGGAATGCATAGAGATTGTTCAGATCGATTATCAGGGACAACTATGATAATAACTTTGAATTGCGTGAAACTATTTGATCAAAGCAGAGCGATCGCAGACGAGTGAATGATTGGTCATGGTTTTGTCCGGAGAGATACTGATCGAAAAGGTTAAAGTCAGTATAGCCAAGTTCTACTACAATGATTTGCGAGAGAGAAATATTTGAACAAATGAAATCCATCTCTGTCTTGCGGGTATCCAGTAAAAGATTTCATCACAATAGAAATAGGAGAATATTTCGTGCATCGTTTCCGAAGCGAAACAATTGAAATCTGTTTTGCCCATTCTCTACTTCGGATCACCTTTAAATCGATTGGTTTAGAAAAGAGAAGAATGGGTATTACTGTTACTGTGAAGATTTGGTAAATAGATAAGCCAGAATAAAATTCACCCATCAGACAGTATTGGATGATCTTTACTACAAAAACCTGTCGATAATGACTTTCTGAACAAGACAATGATTCCACGATTGTGGTGCCATTTTGTACCTGGTTGATCACACTCAATTTCTTGGGTTCGAAATAAATGCCGACGCAAACCGTGTACAACAATACAAATACAATATACATCGATAGGAATTCGTATGCTTCTTTCATTGTTTTTACGAAGAGATACAGCAGCACACCCAAAATGTGTGCAGTGTTTAGAAAGAAAGAGGCAAGAATCCAGAGAGGACTACTGTGTGGTAGCGTACAATTGTAGCCAGCGAGAACTACACAAGGATTCGCATAAGGTGACGCGACAAAAGTCGGCCATATAACAGCAGCCATGAACACTTATTTTGGGTGTTTCTAATTTTTTAACCTAACGATAACATGTTTTCGATTGTTTACCTCCTTTTTCATGCCAGAAGTAATGAAGCGTTTCTACCTTGAATGAATCATCGTATCACACTTACTATATTCTAGCAATTTTTTCATCTGATACGATGCCATGGATCAGCTGATATACAGATATATATATTGAATGTGTTACGAAGTCAAAACTTTAAAATATCTATCTGTTTATTTTCTGGCGTTCATCAATTATAGCTTTCTTAGTATGATATACGATCGGAAAGGATTTCGTTGAAAAACCTCCATGCCCTTTTCTCGTAGTTCATCCTTGAAGGCATTCCAAAACTTGTTCACCATGTTCATTCGTTCTTCATCCGTTCGATCTTTTCTTAGGCAATTGATAAAACTTGATCCGGACCAACTGCGTACGAATTCCGTGTACTTGTCGATGGCTTCCTCCAAAGTAATCTGTTTCGAACGATACTCCTCGTAAATAGGGTGTTGCAATGAATGTACTTAATAAAAACTGAACTAGGATCATAGGATATATTGTTGTTTTACAATAGAGCTCGACATTTGTGCCAAGACTTTTGCATCGGTCATTATTTCGACGAAATAATCTTTTATCTATCTATCTAATTTCTCATTTATAAGTTCATTAAAAACTCACTGCTAAGAAGAATAACATATAAAAGCGTAGCATATCGTTGTCGTTTGACAATGATGCATGGATCTTCTACTTCATCCTCATCATCGGGAATAAAAAGATTATAATTTTGTATTCGTTCACCAATCCAACGAAGAAATCTTCTTGTATGCATTGTCAAAATGAGAAATCTTTATTTCACATTGATGTTGATATCAAAACTAACACAATATACCTAAAATAGAATCATATTATGATAACTTACGATCTGAAAAAGAACATCATAAGTTTAGTTTGAGAAGAAAAAGTAACTATAGTTCCTATTATCGAAGAATATTATAGACATATTCATGATTTGATATTAATCATAATTTCAAGTCTTTCATTTCGCAGTTATATTTGTTCAAAATGAGTTAACGAGTATATATAATTTCAGCTTCTAGGGAATAAGCAATTGAGAAATAAATAAATTATTTAGCTTTCGAGTTTTTTTCTACTAGACGGAACACTTCTTTTCTTCATTACTAATAGAAAATTAGTTTTTTGATATCATACAAAATAGTGATAATGTCTCATTGAGATCCAGAACATTCTTAAAGGATAATTTCTATTTATTTTAGTTAGATAGACAACCATCAATGACAAGCAAATTAGCCAAACTCGCTCAAAACTAAAGTTATAGGATTAAGAGCAATTATCATCACATTGACATAGACGATTATCAATAACATCAATCCCATCAAAATAAGTAATAGAATAAATAAAGTGATGATAATTACGACGATGATTATCATTCAAACCAAAACAGCAATGACGAGAAGGAAAACGAAAACCACGATCATAACCATCACAAGTACAAGTTGCATCATCACGCTTTGTATAGTTCTTGTCATTACCATCAGGACGCCAGTACCAATCACGGCAATGACCACATTTGATGCAAGCACGTCCGTCACAATTAAGTTTCTTGTCAGAGTATGGTGGTTTATTTTTTGATTTGGAGAAGTTGGGTTCTAAACAAACAATTTCATTTTGTATAATGATTGACAAAAAAAGAAAGAATAATTACTAGTTTATTCATTAAAGATGCAAGATTCTGTAGATTAACAGAAGAAAGCTACTGTGAAAGTAATATTCATCAGTAGAACTAGTGATGATTATCTTCCATCAAAAGAGTTAATTTAGAAAAAGAAGAATTTGAATTCTCCTTTATCTTCGATCCACGAGCGAGAAATCTAGTCAATTCCTTTTACGTTTGCAGTATGAGTTCAATCAACCTCATTCGCCGTAGTATTGATGTTCTGAATACTACAACAATTTCATTGCTTAACTTATAATATTAGCTACCTCTCGAAAATGAAATAACTCGAGCGAGTGTGTGGGTGTGAGGATGTCTTGTCTGTGCACATCCTCTGGCAATCGTCGAAAGTCACAACTATAAGAAAAAAACATGCTATCCAACTTGCCTTGTTGTGAAGATGCATGCACGCATGGTTCAGGTGTGATACTTGTCGGTATATCGTTTTCTTGCTCTGGTAGAGCTTCGAATACATTTAATAATGATTCGGATTGCGACAGCATTGTTTTTAATTGGCTACGATCAAATGGATCATCAAGCATTTTAAATGGCGGTGGAATTTCTTGGAGATAGATTATGTGGCGACCATCAGGTCGACTTACGTTATCAACTACTTTGAGATAAATACCGAGTGGAAGAAGAATTTCATTTTCATTGTCAAAATATGAATGTGCACGTATATCTTTTCCATTGCTAGTTTGAATAGAAAATATTGTACCTGTGCCTGTTTTACCCAAATAATTTGAAGTTTCAAGAATGCTCATCGAGGCGGTACACGACTTGAATGCCCACCAAGCAAATTCCTTGTCTTTTGGATAGAGACCACTGAGGTCTTCGCGAACGCCACACCACACAAGCGTATGTTCGCTTGGTCTATTACGCATGAAAAAACATGAAATATGATGATACATATTTTTCACTCACGGTAGTTTGAAGAAAGCTGTGAGAAACAACTTTAAAAACTTGAACCACGGTCGAAGTTTTGTGCAATCTGCTAGTAGAAGAGTTCTATTCAACACAATGTATAGACTATTCTCATGTATATTCCATTCTGTAGTATATAGATAAATCGAAGCCGACTCATCAGGACTGAGTCCATCTTTGGGCTGTGTTGACTTCATTTTGGCCATGACAATATAGTCCTTTAATTTCTCATCGAATAAATCTTTTATTGGTTGACAAGCATCGTCAAGTGATGTAACAGTTACATTCTGATAGCCAGATATTGGTAGTAGCATTTGTTTTGATTCTCCACTAACGCTTTCTAAAAGACGATAATTAATATTAACAGCAATAGCCATATGTATATGTGTGCGTCTTGCTTGAAATTCGATGTAAATATGAATATTGTGTTCTGTTACAAAAAACGTGCTTTAAAAAATACGATTAATTCAAATAAATGACGAAATAATATTCACCAAATAGAAGCTTTACTTTTTTCTCTTTTTTGCTTCTATGCCGTCACTATTGACTAACTTGCGCACTGTGATGAAAAAACAAATATCCAATGTGATCGACTGCAATCGAATCGTGACGTGGGACAATACAAAACGGATGCCATATAGTGTGGGTGGATGTGTCCTTTAACCATTACCCACACCCTAAACTCTGTTATTTTAAATCTATATACTGTCATTTAATATTATCAAGCTTTGGATAAATATTCAAAGTTATGCAGATTATTAACAAAATTAATCAAACATATTTTTACATCATCCTTGGATCCAATATACACAGATTTTCTCTTAGTTGAAATGGTTAAAAGATCAATAATATTATTCACAAAGAAAACAACATTCAATTCTTAATAGAACAAGAAGAAGTAGAAATTATGTCTATGAATTGAGCTTTATAGAATTATTTACACATGAGAATATTTTTTGCTTTTTGTCGAAAAGCTTTTGATATTGTTATATTGGTATAACATCCGATACAAAATGGTATATATGTACTAAAATAACCAATCTCTCGAATAAAACCTTCAATTTAACTTTGTAAAACACTTTTAACTTGATTTTCGGTGATTTGTTGATATATGAGAGCAATATTACATACTATATTGAATATAATATGTCCGTCTATTACTATCATAGGATCCATGCGAACCCATTTCGTAGTTTTTCGTTACGTGTTATTGAAACATTTAGCGCTTCGAGTCATTTGTTTTATCTGTTGTCTAGTTCATGGACGGTGTATAATATGATCACAGAATATCTCATAAAAATGCACTAGGAAAAGAATATAAACATGGGTCCACGAGGACCCTAGTATACTATTCAAGTTATAAATCGAGGATGGTAACGGAGGGTTATTGTACTTCCTATTTTACTTGGTTTCTTTTAAAACTTTTCAGAAATATAAACGGTTCATTCACTTTGTTATCAATAAATAGATATTTTTATTACATTCCTCATTTTTAATACAGAAAATACTAAACAATATTAGTTAAATTCTAATTGTTTACCTCACTAAGTTTATTTCAAATATCAGACTTATAAATCTTTTCCTTTGTTAGAATATCATTGAAACCGTTAGATTTTTCACTAAATTTGAATTAAAGTAGAGAAAAAAGAAAAAGCTGTTTTTTCGTCGAAGTAAATTTTTCATTATAAATAAAAAAAATTATTTTCGAGTTTTTGTAAGTTATGTCGGCACAAATCAATTCCAGGTTGAGTTCTTTGAGAAGGTCAGGATCAGTTTGCTCGTCAATACTGCGATAATAACCTTGTATGTTAAAATTGAGCAATTCATCTTCGTCGGAAAGAACAGCTTTCGCTGATCGGTAAAGATTGTGATAAATTGGTAAATTACCCGTATCGTTCAGATGATTACGACTGAGTGTGACGGACAGAAACATGCCTCCTAGAAAAACAAATATATAAGCACCATAGGACTTTTGTGGTACGGTGAAAGTGCCTGACCTTTTTTCAGCTCTTTCGAACGTTGTTCTAAAAACAATCGATAATCTGTTGCTGTCTGTTCTCTCCACAACTTCATTTCTTCGTCAGTCGATTGTCCAGCCAGAGAATAGCAATGTTTGCTCAGATTACACGGTTTCTTCGACAACCAATGCAGTGCTGTTGAAGTATAACCAAATTGAACCGAGCCAGTCGGTAAGATTTGTTCGTAGAATGATGTACCTGTCGCCAGACTGAAGAATTTTCTAGTTGATGTATTAGCAATGACTATTTGAAATACTGTTGTCCAATCATTCGTGTACAAGTCATTGAATATCACGCAGATCTCGTTGGTAAGTGCGTATCTCTGCTAGAACGCTTGAATGATAGCATTGATGGCAACTAATGAATTTGCACCATGTGAACATCCATAGTCAGCGATAAAAAATGGTTGCGAGGTCGAAGAAGTATCGGCGGTATGTTCTTGGACAGCTCTTTCGATGTAAGCAAATGATTTCTGTATTGCTGTCAGCTGCGGAGTGCTATTCATGTTGTAATGTTCATTTTTTTTCATCACATTTGGAGTCTCCATTTTTATTTCAGTGTTTAATTTCAGTATCGATTACACACAACGTATGTGTTGTAAGACAATAACGATTAAAACATGCCAACATTATATTTTTTTTTCTCTTTCGTTCTTATCTTACACTACCTATCAGTTGTACTGTATACAGAAACGGTTCACGCCAAGAATGTCCTTTTGTTTTTCTTCCTCACACATATATATATTCATGCGAGAGTACGAAAAGCAAAAGGCCAGTCACGCCCTGAATCATCGAAGCAGTAACACGCTCATGTAAACATTTTCTAGATTGAATCCTCGTACTTGCTAGATTTAGAATCGTTTATTTTGTTACAATTAACATCAATTTAAAATATCTTGATTACGTGTTAGGTGAACATACTACACTACAATCCAATGTGTGAATACAATATGTTGAAGATGAAGAGTTCCTCATATTAGTTTTTCCCAGCATTCTCTTTCATCAGCAGTTAAGTGAATCGTTGATTTAGCTTTAGTATAGAGATCTTTTGTAGCCCAATGCAACGATCCACTTCGACTTTTCTTTGTTGCTTCACCAATATATCCTGGTGCATTTGAGTTACATCGAATACGCGTATCCCATACCCATTCCCATCCTAAGAATCGTCCTTTTTGATTGTATATGCATGAGGTTTCGCAGATACGTGAACCCTTCGCTTTGGACCAGCCTTCATTTGCCTTAAAGCTATTAACAAATGCACCAACACATTCATGAGGATTTCCGTTCAATAGGTTTCCTCCACATAGTCTCATTGGGTGATCTTTACTATACTGTACATTTCGAGCTAAATCTGCATAGCAACTGTACCAGAACAGAGCAGCAGTCAATTGCAAGGCTAACCAAATTGTCCACAATTTCATTTTGATCGATGAAAAGAAGCGATTTTAGTGAAGTCGAGTCAGTTGGAGAATTGCCGTTATATAGTCTACACAAGATAAGAACAAAGAAGCAATTCGATATTTATTTGTGCGTGATAACTTCGATTGTTTTAATCTGCAGTGACGTTTTCAGCGATAGTTTCAGCGAGCTCGGAATGGTTTTGTATGAAAGGCTGAGAACTAGGTTCTAGAGGACTAGAAACAGGGATGTCTTCAAAAGAGCAGTTGCGAATTTTCCAATGAGTGTTTTCGCAGCATCGTCGACGAGCGATCCATACAGTGCTCACTGTAACTCCAAGGACTAGGATCATAGGTAAAATAACTGTAAAAATTTTTGAAGCGTGAAAATTGCTTTTAATGGTCGATGTTGCAGTTGTTAGCCCTTTATCCATGTTCATCGCTGAGGTAAACGTTGTTCGTGTGCTTGTAAATTTAGTTGCTGTTTCTTTTATCGTTATTCTACTAATCATTGGTGCAATGACTGCTCTTGTCGCAGGAGTCAAATAGGTATCTAGGGCTAAAGAAATAGTACACAACGAGCGATCATTTTTCAATTTAAATTTTGAGATGCAGGCCCCTTAGACTTACATTCAATGTTGCAATTATCGATTTGACAACAACCGATGCTACCTTGAAACTCAGCGCCACCGAATGAAATCAAACCTAACGATTGGTTTTGACAATCCATAATGAATGTTCGTATGGTGAATGATGGGTAATTTATATTGCTGATTGGATCTCGTCCTGCCAGGCCGATAATAGTCTGATGATGACAATAGTTCATACGAGAGCATTGACTTTTCTTTGAAATTACTCACGGCACAAGATTCAGAAGGATTCGATGATCCAATGCGATAGACGTGAGAGCTGGATGTGTTCAAAGTATGGCATCCCGCTAAACCACTGATACGTGAATCACACACGTAACACGTAATAGCAGTTTCATCATACGCAGAATGTTGATTACAGTTGGGGGCGTTGCAACATGAAGTGACAACAGACATAACTGCTTCAGTTGCTTTGAGTTGCTATGAAAACATCAAGAGAAAATACCTTGGAGTTAAAACTATTGGAGCACATTGTGTCGAAAATTCAGTGTTTTAAGATTTGCCATGTTATTTTAATAGCCCTATGCAACTTTATATGAATATTCTCAAGGAAGGGGAACAATTCTTCATTTCTATCTGTTTTATTTTCCTATCTATACACTCGCTGCCATCCTTATCCTCCATCTTTTTTCGTCTATGTTTTTCCAGTTTTTTCTTCGACCTTTTAACACAGTACCTTTGAGTCCGTTGGTATTACAGTTAATCCAGGCAAACATGTCTTTTTATAGGACTTGTAGATTTCTTCTTCGTTTGTGAAGTCTTGATGTGCCATCTACATATTAAAAGTTTCTTTTCGCCTTAAGTGATCGTATACACTATTTTACCGAACAGGATTCAGCAGGACTACTACGGAATGCAACATGAAGATCGCCACGGCATGTGTCGCCAACCAACGAACAATGTCCAACTAGGCACGTTAGATTAGTAAATGCAGGTAATGGAGGCGATGAAATCGAATTACATCGATTATCTTTACAACAAAATTGATACGGTGAAATTTGACATGTGCTTGACAGTACCATATCTCGAGTTGTTACGCCTTCTGGAGTAATGGTTACCTAGATTTTACATAATGAAAGATGCTATGAGACCATGTATCATTATCATACTTATGCCGAATGCTTACTGAACATGAATATAAGATTTCATTGCCATATTTGAAAGAATATTTAGTACTGTCGTTTAGATATGACAAAAATAAGATACCGCATTCTGATCCTCCACGACATGTGTAGCATTGAATAATTCGACCTGTATATATATCACTTTCAATCGTCGTTCGGATTGCTATGGAAAAAAATATTTGAGTATAGTTATCTGGAATTATAGGATAGGATGGAATTACTCACCGTGAACGAGTATCAAGCAAAGGATGAAGCCTTGATTCATTCGTATGGAAAGATAGAGCACGAAGGAGTTTCGCTAATGTATAGTCTTTTCAAGTTGTTACGTCTTGTTCTTATAAAACCATAAACGAGAAAAAGTACTCTTAGTTTGTCTCATTAGAAACAGACTATTTCAGCTATTCAATACTTTTCTTCTGAAACAGCGAATATCCAAGAATGAAAAACATCAAAATTATAGACTTATTTGAAATACTGCTATTTCTACTACTACCTAAAATATTCATGGTATTTTTAAACTCGCATTGTCTGAATGTTATATACGTATTGTAAATCGAGAAGGATGCATCTGCCCTTTGCTCGCGGTTTGTCGGTTGAGTTAAAAGATCACATTCTTCCAATTTAAAGCTAAGGCGAAGTGAAATGTATGTGGCGAGAGAGAAATAAAAAAAGAGTCGGTGCCGTTCTTTTCTAGACAGAGTCGATTATGTATCAACGGGAATTACGCCCAATCAAAGACAATCGATTTATCAGCGATTCTCTTTCAGAACTACAAGAAGCCGAACGTACTCCGATATCAGGATATCAGCATCTACCACTTGTTTCGTTAGAACAAGCTACAAACGAAATCATTCAACTTGTTCCTGGCTTTGAAAAGTGTCATNGTCGCCAACCAACGAACAATGTCCAACTAGGCACGTTAGATTAGTAAATGCAGGTAATGGAGGCGATGAAATCGAATTACATCGATTATCTTTACAACAAAATTGATACGGTGAAATTTGACATGTGCTTGACAGTACCATATCTCGAGTTGTTACGCCTTCTGGAGTAATGGTTACCTAGATTTTACATAATGAAAGATGCTATGAGACCATGTATCATTGTCATACTTATGCTGAATGCTTACTGAACATGAATATAAGATTTCATTGCCATATTTGAAAGAATATTTAGTACTGTCGTTCAGATATGACAAAAATAAGATACCACATTCTGATCCTCCACGACATGTGTAGCATTGAATAATTCGACCTGTATATATATCACTTTCAATCGTCGTTCGGATTGCTATGGAAAAAAAATATTTGAGTATAGTTATCTGGAATTATACGATAGGATGGAATTACTCACCGTGAACGAGTATCAAGCAAAGGATGAAGCCTTGATTCATTCGTATGGAAAGACAGAGCACGAAAGAGTTTCGCTAATGTAGTCTTTTCAAGTTGTTACGTTTTGTTCATATAAAACCATAAACGAGAAAAAGTACTCTTAGTTTGTCTCATTAGAAACAGACTATTTTAGCTATTCAATACGTTTCTTCTGAAATAGCGAATATCCAAGAATGAAAAACATCAAAATTATAGACTTATTTGAAATACTGCTATTTCTACTACTACCTAAAATATTCATGGTATTTTTAAACTCGCATTATCTGAATGTTATATACGTATTGTAAATCGAGAAGGATGCATCTGGCCTTTGCTCGCGGTTTGTCGGTTGAGTTAAAAGATCACATTCTTCTAATTTAAAGCTAAGGCCAAGTGAAATGTATGTGGCGAGAGAGAAATAAAAAAGAGTCGATGCCATTCTTTTCTAGACAGAGTCGATTATGTACCAACAGGAATTACGCCCAATCAAAGACAATCGATTTATCAGCGATTCTCCTTCAGAACTACAAGAAGCCGAACGTACTCCGATATCAGGATATCAGCATCTACCACTTGTTTCGTTAGAACAAGCTACAAACGAAATCATTCAACTTGTTCCTGGCTTTGAAAAGTGTCATGTGGTTACAGCTGAACAGAAGTGCAATCGCGCTGATAACATTTTGACTAAGGATGAAGCAGCAGCAATCTATCTTTACACAATGCCAACACCGTNTTCTCTTTCAGAACTACAAGAAGCCGAACGTACTCCGATATCAGGATATCAGCATCTACCACTTGTTTCGTTAGAACAAGCTACAAACGAAATCATTCAACTTGTTCCTGGCTTTGAAAAGTGTCATGTGGTTACAGCTGAACAGAAGTGCAATCGCGCTGATAACATTTTGACTAAGGATGAAGCAGCAGCAATCTATCTTTACACAATGCCAACACCGTTTTTCTCATATTTGAATAAAGCTCTTCGAAATGAAGATCGACAGGTGTTGAAACCATGGTTTCCCTTCCTCAGATTGATGATGCATGCTCTCGAGAAGTTACCTTCACTGGAAGCAGATGTTTGGCGAGGTGTTGGACTTGACGTTGGCTCATATCTTCAGAAGAACGACGATTTAACATGGTGGAGTATTAATTCATGTTCGAAGGATCCAGGTATCGTGGAAGTATACTTAGGAACGGAGGGCACTCTGTTCGACATAAAATCCTGCAATGGCAAGGATATCTCGTCTTTCTCGGCATTTCCAGTCGAACATGAAATTGTTTTGATACCAGGAACTCGTCTCTGTGTTACAAAGAATATTGCCAAAAAAAATGATTTTATCATTGTTGAACTAGAAGAAATACAACAATCATACGTCTCAAACGCGTCGGGGTAGGTTTTCGTTAATTATCTGTCGATAATTGCATTGATCCTCTTCAGAAATGCGACGATTCAGTCTCCACTACAGTATCAAATGGCCGGTAACAAAGAAGCAATGATACAACGTGTCACAGATTGCTCTCCACCACCACAACTTTTTCTTCCGCCTATATCAGGCTATGACGCATCACCACTCGTACCGCTTGAAATAGCTGTTCGACCTCTCATGTCGATCCTGCCTGATATTCAAAGCTATGTCTATTCAGCTAAAAAGAACTGTACAAATCCTGCTGATGGTTTAACACCAGATGAATCAGGAGCGATCATGCTCTACACGATGACGTGGCAACCATTTGAGCAATGCCTTTACTATGTCTTGAATCTGAAGCTACGATCTATCAGTAGAGAGGACCTTCGGCCGTGGTTTGCCTATTTGAAACTACTGTTGACTGCGTTATCAAAGCTTCCATTGAGTACGAAACGGACTATCTATCGAGGCATTAAAGTAGACTTTCACAAGCAGTATGTCAAGGGTGAGATGATTGTGTGGTGGGCTTTTGCGTCATGTACGACATCAATCGGTGTTTTAAGTTCCGAAGTATTTCTGGGTCAAACAGGCAGTCGAACAATGTTCGTTATAGAAACTGATTCGGGTATCAATATTCGTAANACTGCGTTATCAAAGCTTCCATTGAGTACGAAACGGACTATCTATCGAGGCATTAAAGTAGACTTTCACAAGCAGTATGTCAAGGGTGAGATGATTGTGTGGTGGGCTTTTGCGTCATGTACGACATCAATCGGTGTTTTAAGTTCCGAAGTATTTCTGGGTCAAACAGGCAGTCGAACAATGTTCGTTATAGAAACTGATTCGGGTATCAATATTCGTAACCATTCGTACTTCAGGAAAGAAGAGGAAGTACTCCTGCTACCTGCCACACAATTCAAAATTATGGACTGTCTTCCTCAAGGTAACGGACTGTATTTCATTCAACTTCAAGAAATTCATCCGCCTGTTGCTCTACTACAGCCAGTAACGATCGGTAGAAGCTATTCCAATGCACAAAATTCTATTTTAGTCAATATCTATTTCGTTTTAGAACGCACCTATCCAGATAATAGCAGGTACAGAGGTCATTTTAAAGGTGGCAAGAGGCACGGAACAGGCACTTACGAATATGCTAACGGAGAAAAATATCAGGGTGAATGGATTAATGATCAAACCAATGGAAAAGGAATTCGTACATTTCCGAGTGGAAATCGTTATGACGGAGAAGAAAAGAATGGGAAACGGCATGGTTATGGGGTGAATTATTGGACTAATGGGGAAAAGTATGAAGGCAATTGGGCTAATGACAAAATAAATGGCAGTGGAAAATATTTTTGGCCGACGAACGTGCAGTATGAAGGAGAATTCAGAAACGATAAGAAGCATGGACAAGGCACACTAAGATGCGCTAATGGACGTGCTAAACAAGGCCCGTGGAACAACGATCAATTTAAAGGCTCAAATTTCCACTACACTGAAAACAAAAAAGGTTTTTGGCGAAATCTTTTGTGTTTCGTCAAAATCTAATCTATTTCAAATGTTATCGCGCAATCGCACGAAATCTAGAAAAGGTTTAGTACCATTCAAGGTGTTTTATGAACCCTTTTTAACTTCTATACTCCAAGGATGATTTCGTTCCAAATCATTCTCATACTGTTAAAGTCTAGAATAGTTTCGTGCCTCACTCATTATCAATGAGGAAATGAGAAAAGGTTTCGCATAGAACCAACTATAAAATATCGCAGTCAAGAAAGTTTCGTAAAAGATACTTCTGAAAAAAACGAAATGAAAAAGGTTTAGCATCAAGCTGCACATTTTTTTTTTGATTGAAAGAGGTTTCGTAGAATAAACCTGTGTAAATGCTTGAATACGAAAAGGCTTCGTATAAACTGCTTTGCATTTGTTTCAAGTTAAAAAGGTTTCGTATGACACTCTCAAAAGTGTCGTATAAACCTCAGACATTTTGTATATTCTAAAAGGGTTTCGTATAAAACCTTTTTTGTTTTCAGTGTAGTTTATTTACGAGAGGTAAAGTGTGTGTGTGTTCACAGAAGTAAATCAAAACCAATAAAATGACTCTATGTTAACTAGCATCGATGCTTTTCACTGATTCCACCCAATCATAATGACCAGCTGCTAGCAAAAGCCAATTTTGTTGTGGATCTAGACCAATAAAATCTTGTGGAAAGCCAAGTTTGAAATCATACGCTTTGTTGATTTCTTCGATTTCTTCTTTGCTCAAACGTACTTTCAATGCTTCAATGTTGTCTTGTAAATGTTCCACTTTTCGAATACCGACGATAGGAAAGATATACGGTTGTGTAGCCAAAACATAAGCAAGCGCAATTTGAGTGAGGGAAACGTTTTTACTCTTGCCAATCCTGTTTAATACAACAGTCACCGCTTTGTCTTCTTCGGAGGGTCCTGAATGCATTTAGAAACTCGTCGAAAAATATGTATTGTAATCAATTTCACAATCTTACCTTTGATTGGGCCAATAGGTGATCTTCCTTTGTCGCCAGCCTTTTCCATGGCGTCGATCTGTTCTTGTGTTTTGAATTTACCTCCACCCAATGCTCCCCACGGTGCAAAAGCCATGCCTTCATCGCGAAGCATTGGAAGAATTTCTCGTTCTACATCACGTTTAGCAGCATTATATAAGCCTTGATAAACAGAAAATTGACGGAGTCCATGATCTCGAGCATATTGGTTTGCTTTGGTGACAACCCATGCTGGTGTGTCACTGACGCCCAGATATAAAACTTTACCGGCTTTGACCAAATGATCGAGCGATTGCATCAGTTCAGGAATCGAACATGTATAATCCCACCTGAAAATTAGTTTTGTTTGAATGCATTGGCAAAGAAAGGAGGAAGAAAGAACATGCTCACCAGTGAATGTAGAGCAGATCGATATAATCGGTTTGAAGCTTCTTCAACGAAGCAGCAACACTTTCATGTAGACATTTTGTTGAATTACCAGCAAAATTTATATGAATTGGCTCTTTCTTCCAATCTGATCGGTATCCCGATGAGAACTTTGTTGCAATCACCATCTGACTTCGATTCTGTCGTTTAGCCATCCATTCTCCGATGATGATTTCACTCTGTTCATCTTGATAATTACTTGCCGTATCAATGAAATTTCCACCTGCTTCGAAATATGCATCGAGAACTTTGAACGAATTTTCTCTGGATTGTGTACCCAGGAAGTCTTTCCAAGCTTCGCCAAGTGACATCGCTCCGAGACATAACGGAGATACACGAACAGCAGCAGTTGGTGACAAAATACGATATCGTCCCAAACCACTAGTCGGTTCTGGTGCTGGTTGCATGTTTTAAACTATGAGTATCTAAAAAAATACGAAGTATAGGGTTCTAGAATGACAAGATGATGAGACAATCGAGTAAAAACATACGAGTACGACGAAAACAAGCAAAGGCAATCGGTATTTATACCACGACGTGTTGACATACGTCAATGCATCTCGAATGAAAGAGAGAGAGAAAAAACGTGCTTCTTGTACCTTAAAGCACTTTAGTGCTGTTCTCTTTTTTCCTCGTTGAGTGATGACGGTGCAAAATCTCGCTACACCGTACTTCTATTTCTGCGTCTTTATGAAAAAACGATGCTTTACAATTTCTTTTCTACAAAAAAATCTTCTCTTCTGTAGAATCCAGACACTATTTGATAAGATTTTTTAAAATAAATAAGAATAGACGTAGTATTAAGGGAAAAAGAAAATAATAACGACCGACCAATCGATGAGGAAGATAGTTTCATCACGAACAAAAGAAAAAGAAATAGGTTTATTTTACCTGCAAGAAGATTTTAAATTGAAATAAACTCACAAAACTTGAAAATAAAGTTCAGAAAGATAATTGAGAGATCGTTGCCTATTGATCTACGAGGAGGAAAATATTCTGGCAACTACTTAGTTTATTTTTGTTTATCACGAGAATCTGAACTGACATCGAAAGTTCGAAATCATAGGAATGTGAGCATTGCGCATACTTTGAGTCTGATGACTATTCTACATTTTCAAATATCATATCACATGAATGATTGTTCCTTCGACGTAGAGATAAAGTGTTTCGATTACAGAACTATGTGTGAAAAGTAGTGCAGTGTACCTTGTACGCTTGATCGAAGAATATAATTCGCGAAGGTGAGACTCATTGTAACGACATACTGGTTGAGTAGTTAACCGCTGCTCACGGTATGATGTTTATTGACTACTCCACATGACCAGAATGTGTCTATTTCACAATAAGACACGCGTTTATTTAGAAAAGGGGAGAGACAGATGAACCGGAGAGAGTATGATATAGAGGTGAGAGAATAAAGAACAGAAAGAGGTGAACGATATCATTATCGTTACACTTATGAAATAAGTATCAGCGTTGTTGAAGTATGGCTAGAATTGATAAAGTCGATTAACTTCTGTCTCAAAACAGTATTATTAAACTGAGAGCATTTTATCAAGATAAGCCCGTCTTGCAACATGATATGTAGAATTATATCTGAGCCCAGTTTGATTATAAGAGAAACATAAAGAATCACATCAATGTGATTGATTACACCTTTTTTTTTCATTTCTCATCTTGAAACTTTTAAATTTATTGTATAAATGGCTAGGATTGATCTTTTCTTGGTAAATGTGAACTGTCTACGATTATGCCTATTGTCATAGTTGTCACGCTGTATGGAATAAACATGTCCTGGTGAAGTATTGAATTATCGAAAAAAGAGAGAGTAGATTTTATGGATCGTGTCAATTTAAAAAAAGAAACCGTATTGGCTAAAATGAGTATGATTGATTTTGTGTAGCATTTTCTAATTCTTCATATGAAAAAGAAAAATTCTCATCTAGAACAAGTCAATAGGATCCATGCATTACTTTTACTCGAAGGTCCTTCAGAGCGGAACCGATAGCCTCTCTAAACTTCTAGCACGTCTTTTATACGTTAGATTTAGCGAAGCCACCAATGAGTTTTACCGTGTGCCTCGTGTATGACCAAGTATGAATAACAAATGAATATTATATACCATGTTAAAATAGGATTGTAGGTGCTCTAGTCGTGTTTTGTGAATAGAGGGATAGCTGTTGAGCTATTGATTTGTTAATTTGATTGTCTGGTGTACAAGAGACCTTCTCGTAAAAATAGATTAGCTCATGAAGAATAACTGATTCACAAACATATTCCACTGGCATAAGTTTTTGACAAAATGCCTCAATAATCTCCACTAGTTCAATATACTCGATTAAATGCCAAATAAAAGAAGCGAAAAAGAAATTATTACCGCAGATTGTCCCTTCTTGAGAAATTTGCATCAAATTATATGAATAAGAGCAGTATTGCTTACCTAGAAACGATTCGTTTCTCAAAATCATTACATATACACCTATCTTTACCCTTTTGTCTTATTCGAAGTTTACCACATTGTAATGAAAACGCATCTGTGTTAGGATAACAGCTGACAAAAACAGTTTAGCGTGCGACAATAGTTCGGAAGATTATTTGCTATGATCGACAGCTCGACAATTCGCGTTTCATTCGTTGTTCTGTGCACTGAAAATAAAATGGTGAATTGGCCACATGACTTCAGTTCTTTTTTCAAAACTTCTTTGTTTGGTCCACTCATGTGATATTTGACGGCAAATGACAATCATGATTCGTGACAAACTGAAGAGCTCCCACTACTGAAAACACTGTGATCAACTGGCGCCAACTACATATGATTAATAATGAATCAGACTTTTGATGCGTCAAACAAATCAACCAATGCGTAAAATATAGACATGATGTTTAATTAAAAACACGAAAAATATTTCGTTCGCTTTCTCATCGGTTTCAATGAATCATTGTGGACAATTTTCTCATTTTCTCCATTAAAACACATCACAGGGATTTTTTTTCTCCCACAATATCGTTTACTCACAATAACTTCGATAATAATTCAATCAAACAGTCACATTCACTATGGACGACTTGCTCATGTACCTTAATCGACAAGAAAATATTTCAACGGGTGAGATTCTTTTACAAGTTCACTTTTTACGAACTTTAATATCTGTTTTCTGCATAGATATTCCTGTAACCGAACAGTCACTCAGTTTTTTGTTCACAGACGTCATCGACTACAATTTCGATCTGTTACTAAGCCCATCGTATCAATTAAATTTTTCTAGTGAGTCCAATCAATCCATTATTTAACTTAAATGCTTTTTTTTCGTCCTATTTGTGTATTACAGGCAACCCACTTTCTGCTGCCGAACCATCTGAAAATGAAGTCTTCAGTATTCAAGACAACTGTCCTAGTAATATTTCAATTGATTATCGCTTCTTTCTCCAACAGTACCTTTTGATTGTTCGTTACTAGACCTTGCGAACACGTCTCATATCATCACACAAGCCAGTTCAATTAACTTCTCGGAGACTACCGCGAAGCAAAGTACAACTCCTACACAGAGTTTGAGCAACATTCAGATGTTTGTTCAACCAAAACAAAATCAACGACCCTGCTATGCATCAGATTTCAAGGATAAGCCTCCACGGTACATTCGTGGGGTGCATAAAGAACTCAATCGAAAGACCTATGATTATTCCGCTGTCAAAGTAACTTTGTTCGCTCATGTTTTTCCCTTGTATTTATTCACTTCAGTTATGCGTGTCTAGATTCCAGACAACTATCTCAATTCTAATCGGATCTTCTACATTCGTGTTTCGCTAGTGACAGTGGAGCTAGCAGACGGAAATCGTTATATTCATCCATATACTTTGCAAACGCCAAATACTCCCGACTGGTTAGATGAACGAAAGAAACACACAAGTGTGTATTATCCGATCACGGAGACTTCTGTGGATTCGAATGGAGTGATGGTGTAAGTTTCAGCCTAGCCAGCTGATTTCTTTCTTCATGTAACTCTGACTGTGTGCAACCATTTGCAGATTTAATAAACTTGTGCTGATCAAACGCAAACAAGAACAGCTAGAAAAGTATGGAGATTTAATTTCACTTCAGACAGGTAATTCTGTCATATTCGAAAAGAAATGTGGAAAAAACATATCGTTCCTATGCCTTTTTTCCTACTTTCTTCTCAGATGAAGAATGTCCAAATACAGCGAAGCCAGATCCGAAGCAAATGATAGCTGATTATCAACTGAAAAGGTCACAGTTAGCCTTCAGTGTGTACGAAGATGTGGGTCAAAGTCAGTATGAGCACATTGAAACAATATTCTCCGACGTTATGCAAGAAGGCAAAGAAGGTGAGTAACTGTTTACATATACATCATCACACCTATTTTTTTTCTTTTCTTTGGGCTTGTAGTACGACCAGAGAAAAGTCAACAGACTCGAACAACTAGTGTTACATCTATATGCTATGATGAATTCCGCAGTACAAATAAGACAAGCGATGTGAATCAGTGGGAGTTTGTAGAAGGCATAGTAGAGAATGGTTGGGGCACTGGTCAGAAACAGTACTATACAGTAAATGTGGACAAAAATGCACGATTTGATGAGAAGGGCCATCTGATAATCGAAGCACGTAAAGAGGAGTACAGAGGATGTGAATATACGTCTGCTCGATTGAGAAGCAAACAATCATTTCGATACGGTCGGTTTGAGGTACGCATTGTCACACTTTTTCGACACAGTCTGATTCTTCTGCTTGCTCTCAGATCCGTGCTAAGTTACCTTCGATAAGAGGAACATGGTCTTCTTTTGTTCTCGTAAGTATTACACATACAACCTTACTACTCAAATACTATCCTACCTTATACACTTGCTTTTCAGCGTCCTGCTGTACACACCTATGGCCATGCAATGTGGCCAGATAATGGCGAAATCAATCTCATGTCACATCT